GATTGCACCAAATTTTAACACGAAATTCCGACAAGAATGAGTAAAATTTATCTTTGAGCAACTTATCTTTTTATGTTTCCGCTGAAAGTTTGAAAACCCACAAAAATCGTGCGTTTGCGTTAACATATCAAGAAAAGTAAGGTCAGAAATGAATTCTACGATCAAAATACCACAAGCCTGCGAAGTTTCAACACGAAATGTCCACAGGAACGAGTGAAATTTATCTTTGAGTAACTTATGTTTTCACGTGTCTACTGAAAGTTAAAAAGAACCCCCAAAATTATGTGTTTCCGTCAATAAATCAAGTAAAGTAAGGTCAAAAATGAATTCTACGATCAAAATACCATATGGTGCCCAAGTTTCATCACGAAATGGCCATTGGAACGAGTGGAATAGTCGAAACAAGTTGGGGCGCAAGGCGATGACCGGGCATTCCTATGCTTCGCTCCACCGTGCGGCAACCCGAGGAATGCGCTAAAATTAAAATCACTGAGAACTTGATAGTTATTTACTTTTGTCCGTTATTTATTTATCTTTTTTTAGTCCGGATATTGCTGAAAATCGTCTCTCGCCGATCGCTCATCCAGATCATTAAGATCATTTCCATAAGTCACGTCTTCATCAATCATAGGCTTGGAGGGCCTGAAATAGGGTTTATGCTTTCTGTGGCTCCGCCGCCATTCCCTATATTCTGAGGGTCGACCGAATCTGATCCCATGGTTAAACCCACTCTGCAACATAAGAAAAGTTCAGTACTTTAGCACTTGTGCAAATTTCAGTTTAAAGTTACAGATGCGGGGATACAAACATAACCTCGTGCGAACAGCGAATAACTTAAGCATCAAGAAGGAGTTATATGAAACGGAAAATAGTCGTAAAAGTTATAATATTTGAACAGCTAATATTGTTAGTTGGTCAAATCGAACCAGAGTAAAACTATGACTGCGTTTCATATTATCGAATTTTCTGTCGTATTTTAATTTTTCCACCAAAAGTCAAGTAATACTAAGATGATGCAAAACTCTGTTTGAATTTTCCTTAGTTAACTAAAAATGTACACACACTGAAAAAATTGGTACGCTGTTTCAACACCTAGAATGTCAAAAATGTGTCTGGTGATTCTAAGATGCTGTTTAGATTGCCCACGAAATTGAAATTGCATTTACAGGATGTAAAGTTAACTGCGGGGGCAGTAAAGGCAGCATCTTGGGATTACCAGACACATTTTTGACATCCTAGATGCTAAAACAGCATATTATTTTTTCAGTGCACACAATTTAAAAGTAAAATGGTGCTTGGTTTTCGATTTAAAAAACTAAGAGACGAAATTAGGCAACGTAAAATAAGTATTTAGACTGATTTTGGTTGAGTACGTCCAATGCATTCAATGATTTTGATATAAAGCCGTTGACGCAACTATTCGTACTCTGAAGACATGCGTTTTGCATATGAAAAAATGAAAGGCGCTCCGGTCACTCGAGTCAATGATGTGGCGCACGCAGCAGTGTGACGAGCCGTTACCAATATGTCGCAGGATGAAAACTGAGGCTTTATCTATTAAACACTGAGGCAATTGAACAGAAAAGGATATTTTAGCACTCATTTCGACCCATCAGGAAATTACATCACACCGCTATACCGAGTAGTGACAACAGTGTATCGTTGCGGGCACAGCTTCATGGTTAAGGATAACCGAAGCGGCCGAAGCGCCTTCAATTCTTAGGATGCAACACGGATGTACGTTGCGAAGGAACAGTTGCACCAATGCGTTATTACCGATATTGTCATCCTTTGATCGAACATCTTCACTGAAGCGAAAGACAAATGGCATATGTACACTCAAGCGTTGCCAAATTTCGTTTGACTACGTAAGAATTTCCGGGAAAATTTGTAAGCTCTGAGTTTTTAATTTACCTGAGTTTTTTTTGCGCAATTTATGTAACGATTCTAAAAACTTCAAGGAAATATATTGCTATCTCATCTCAAAAATAATGTTTTAACAGAGAAAATTTGGCAGCATCTGCTACCGTGCTTCGAAAGAACGCCGTATGAACATTCGAATGTTGCCAAATTTTCCGTCGGAAATTATTTATTTTTAAGAAAAGTCATGAGTATTTTTCTTTGGAATTTTCAGAGACTTTAGATGGAAGAGCGCAAAAAATCCTATGAAAAACTGGGAGAAATATGTCCAAAAAGTTTCCCGAAAAGTCGTGATAAAGCTAAGGAAATTTTGCAACCTCTCAAAGCTCATCCTGCGTTTTTCCTTAGCACAGCAGTCTGGATCATGAAACAGCGTTTCTGCCGCAAAGACACAAACTTGCTTTGACAGCAGCCAAACCTGGCCGTTAAATAAACTTTGTAACGCTGCATCGTAATTGATCGCTAAATTGTAGTGTCTGCGAAAGTGGCGTGGCGTGAATTGCGATATATCGGTTGTTATGTCATTTAAACCTATGGAAAGGGATCGATAAACAGGGTGTTCACAGCGAACACCTTAATAATCGATTCTTTACCATAGGTTTAAATTACATAACAATCGATGTATCACAATTCACGCCACGCCACTGGTCAACGACAAGCACTGGAAAAAAAAAACACGCATTACATCTAGAGTCCAGACTCTTGAAAACATTGACAAGAAAAAGGACTCTTGATTCAATCAGATTTAAGCTTAAATCAAGAGGAAATCCGCTCAAATTAGGGGGTTTGGATCTTGATTTAAGCTTAAATCTGATTGAATCAAGAGTATTTTTCTTGTCGATGTTTTTAAGATGTGTGTGTCGATGTGTTTATTTTCCAGAGAGCTCATAATCCCTGAGTATCATCGGTTTTCCCTCCGACTCAAGCTGTTTTTCTTACCGAGTAACTCCAAAAATATTGGCATCTTAAATGGTAAAAAATGCAAATAAAACTTAAACTCTTTGCTGCCGAAACGAGCTGTGAACTCAATCTAAACTTTTTACGGGAGGTTTGTGTCATCTCAAGGTTTTGCTTGGGATACATTTGAGGGACATCTCTTTTTATTAAAGAAAAGGTCAGTTTTGATAGGCTTTTAAGAAGCTCTGTAATATGCGGTCAGATCCGAGAGATATACTCCTGAAAAAATAAAGCGTTGCAGGTTTTATATTTCTATCATTTCCAGTGGTTCACCAGTTCGAGGACTTACCCTTGCAACATCCCACCATGCATTGACAGGTTGCCTAATGAAGTCCAGCCATCTGTACTCTGCCGTCATCGTAGGTGTAAAGCCTGCGAAGTAAGGAACGAGTTATTCGGGCAGATTAATGAAATTGATAGATAAAGCTATAGACAAAGTAGACAAAAGGTATATAGAGGGATCCTATTGGTGGAAACGAGTGGCTACAATGGACGAAGGAGGTAGGTAACGGCGACTCACGAGAGACCCTACAGTTAGTCCATCATTTTCTCCCCTAGTCTATCATGCATTTCAACCAATAGGAGAGCTCGACCCTCCCCATGTCTTCTTTGTCTATAGCTTTGTCCATCAATTGCAATAACCAGCCCGCTGTTCAGGTGTGTCGTCGCCCCTCTGACAGAAGGGCGCTCAGAGGGACGACAACGTACAGGTATTCCTCGATCAGCGCTTTTAATCATGGAGTCTGAATCAGCAAGAACCGGGATCTTGTCCCGATCTGTATTTGAACAGTATTTTCACCACCGTGATAATCATATTTAGTAAATATGGTTTATTTACAATGGTCCATTAAAATGTTGATGGCTAAAAATGCATTTATTGTCCTTACCTGGTCTAAACGGGCGTATCTATTTCTGGCAAACGGAACTATGTACATTATGACGTGAGCTCTAATATGGATACATTTGTATGGGTCTCAGGGCTCAAGTTTTAATGCACAGAGTTCCGTTTGGCAAAAGTACGTCCAAAAAAGGTTAATTATTGATGATCCTAAAATGCGACTGATTTCATTCTCGCAATAATATGAGTGAATAAAAATTTGGTGGTAGTTAATTTTAATTTGTATGACAAAGTCGATTCAACCAAAGTTTCCCCACAATATCATGAAACTTTGACCCAAAGCTACAGACAGTTAATGTGTGTAATTTTCACGTATCTCAAGGCCGAAAATTCTCGACGCTTCTGATTGTACATATGATCAGGAATGAGTATGCATACGGCTCTTTAAAGATTACGACAGTTAGTATAATGGTGCTGAACTAACCTATGGGTCGATTTCTCATTGATTTTAAGCCGAATGTATGCAGCGGTAGTGTGCTTTAGATATTGCTTAAAGACAGATATAATTTGGAGCCTCATCTCTTGTCTTTTAAAAACGCCTTCAGTTTCACATGCTGCAATATATCTTCCATTTAAAGCAAATCTTCATGTCTCGTCGGTCAGGCACACTCGGGTACTTTTGAGATAGAATCGCGCTGACACAAAATGAAGGGCCTGGAGGACAAGGCGCATAAATGCAGTTTTTGCTATATTTCGAAAAATACGTGTTAGAAGTTTCGAAATCACGTAGATTCGTATGGCGGAAAGAAAATTAAAGCTGACTTTAGGATGCTTAAAAATTGGAATTTGGAAGCGAATTTTTCGCAGAATATGCATTAAAACTAGTTTTACTAGAAATCATTGATATCTCAATTTTTTTTTAAAAAAAAAAAACTGCATTTATGGGCCTTGCTCTCCAAGCCCCTCAAATGTCTCATCGATTCACCATTGCCTTGGGTTATTGATTCATTTTTGCTTGTCGATTTAAGAAAAAAATGGATCATTTGACTCTATACATCGGCAACAATTGTATGGGTGTATTAAAAATTCTGCGTATAGAGACTACGTGAAAAAAAAGAAAAAAACATCTTTTAGACGTTCAAATGGAGGAGCATATGAATCGAAATTGGATCGAGGAGGTAAATAACAGAGAGAAAGTTTGGATTTCAACATTGAAAATAGGGAGATCTCTCCGAGTTTCTGAACGCAAGTGAAAGAGGGATTTTTTTTTTAAATTATTTGTGACAAATAATTTAAGGAAACCGAAATGAAGCATATGACGGAAAGATAATATGTTCAAGCTTCAAAGAAATCACTTAATTATATTGACAATGCATAAAGTCTGCAACAATACCCAATATTGCCTGCAATAAAGCCCATTCCAGAGTAAAATATATTGAAGAGTTTAGATATATTAAGGCTTGATTCCCAGAAGAAAAATGTGAAAAATTTAAAAATTATTCAATTCATAGGTGGCAATTTTATCGCATTAAGAATCCAATTCAAATTTCTATAATCATAACTACATTGAGAATTCTTCAATTTTTTTTTCTTTCTCCTTGATTTCAGGAGGGAAGGGGGTAGTAGGTAATTACTATCCAATTTGGACTGCATTTTGCAATTTGGAACTATAAATTCTGGCACTCCTGGAAATACACTTATGTGCACAGGGAAACTAATGGCCCATACGAAGTTTTTAAACCGGGCTAGAATTTACAGCTCCAAATTGCAAAATGTGGTCCGTTTTCTCAGTAAATCTCGTCTCAGGAGAGTCAAACATTGCTCACGAAACACGCAATCCACGAGTTACGTCGATCGTTTCTTGCCAATGCTGCCGTGGTAAGGAAAAACGTCGTATGAGCCTTCAGACGTTGCCAGGTTTCCTCCAATAAAAACCGAAATTACTGGGAAAATTGTGAATATTATCGTGCAAAATTTTCAGACGATTTTGTACGCAATTTAATCTGCAATATCAGAAAATTTCGAGGAAAAATATGCACGAATGTTGCCAAAAATACATGTTTTATCAAGGGAAATTTGGCAACTCTCGAAAGTTCATAGAGCGTTCTTCCTTAACACCACGGCAGAATGCCCCGTGCTTATTCAATGTTTTGCACGAACATTAAAGTTGATAACAAGTCACCAAGACCCGCGGATATAGAGGAAACAACAAGAAAACAAAAAGCCAACTTACTCAGCATAAAAATTGAAAGCACAAAGCACATCGAGACGGTCACGTTCTTCAACATATTGCGAAATTCTCTTGGTATTTTAATCGATTACCCGGCAGTTTTTTTCTTCATTGAAAATTTTAAAATAAAACTATGCACCACATATTCAAAGGAATTATTCCGCTTCAGTACGTGCGCACAGTTCCTCTGCCAACTACGACGCTTTCATTTTCACTTCCTATCGGTTTAATTTAAATTTTTCCAGGCATTGTTTCAGAATTATCTATCTGTGGCACAAATATTTTATCTGTAGAATTACACGATTGAATATTCATACGTGGCTAAAGCAGCGCAGAAGGGAAGTTGATAACATGCACGTACAATTTCCAATAGTTACGGTCAGCAGTTTAATAGTTTTCGTACATTCGAGGTGTTGTAAATAGATGTATATACATCTATGCTCATAACAAGGTGGTAAAACCGTGCTGGATCCATACATTATTTTGAGGGGAAAGCAAGACCAAAAAATTCTCTCCGAAAAATCGAGTGGACCCAGCACTACTTTACCACTTTTTTACCTACATATCTTTCAGACCACATTTTCAGTTTTTCGATTTCGAAAAAAAGCTATTTAAAGTTCCAATCAACCATCCTCAGGACACACTAATCCCTTTTACGCTTTAAATTTTCGGACGTTTTTAGAGAGATCTTCTTGGGAATCACAAACTTTGAATCTTTGACCCCACTTGACAAAAATAGCTCTATTAAACATGTTACCTCCGTGAATTGAAATCCCCATGCCCTTGCTGCCTTGCTGAGGTGCATAAACATGTGGACCCAGATAAGACATAATATTTTTACAGTATTGGGCAAATATTTTAATCAAAATTATTTTTTAAAAAAATATTTAAAGAATCTTTATTTAGTATTTTTAAAAATGATATGTTTACCCGAAATATTATAAAAATATTTTCACAGTATTGGCACAGTATTTCACAGTATTTTAAAGTATTGGCACAGTATTTATGCCAAACGGAAATATGGTGTACACTTTTAACATTGGCTCAATATTTAACCAATATTGGCCCTATGTTTGCATAAATATCAAAACAATATTTTTTAAATATTGGCTGAATATTTCTGTCTTATCTGGGGATGTTGCCAAATTTCCCCCAATATAAAGTTTATTTTATCACATTTTTTATTGAAATTCTCAAATAGTTTAGATTAAATTGCAAACTAAGTAAGTTGTCTGAGAAAGCGGAAGAAAACTACTTATTTCCAAGAAATTTGTATTTTATCGAAAGAAACTAGGCAACGCCTTAAGTCTCATACGGCGTTCTTCCTCAGTTCGACAGCGTAGGCTGCTACAAACGATAAACAACTCGGTAGCAAAAATGGCAATACCAGAATCTCCGCAACATCCGAACCGTCTCAAGTTCAATAACTGTTGCCGAGATGTAAAACAATGAGAATATTTACCACAGAGTAGCTATCATGTCGATGAAATATTCCACGAATGATCTGGCAATCTGTCGTTGACGTTTTGAGAGCGCTCGAGTGTCCGATTCGGAAGTCAAGGCAAGAATCAAGGCGGATCTCCTCTATCTAAAAACGACGACGAAGAGAGAACTTCGGAGCAAGACTGCCATAATCGGAGACGCAAATTCATAATAATTGATGTGGAAAACTTAAGAATTGTTTTTTCGAACTGGCAAACGACGATTGGACGTATTACTGTAAAACAGAACTAAGCGCCAAATTGAGTGTCTTTTGAGGATTTTAGAATCCCGGATAGCGCGTTCTGTCAAACGGAACTAAGTGCCATGGTAAAGCATTGCGAGTATAGGACGGACTAGCATCGCGTTCCACAACACCCGCCAATCCAAGCCCCCCTCTCCCTTCCTCCCCCTGAACTGAAAAAAAAAATCTCGGTGTATTTACTAAGAAAAGGGTAAAATTACCAAGAATTCAGGGTTCTATTTGATCCCAGTTTTTTCTTGGTAAAATTACCATTTATGGAATTACACCAACCAATTGCTAAACATTTGCCAATTGCAGTTATGGAATTGGTAATTTTTACCGAGAAATCTCGGTAAAATTATTGGACTTTCTCAGTAATTTCACTGGACCTTGGTAAAAACGCCAATATTTTTTATCGACTGTGGTAGAATCACGGAGATAGAATGGCGAAGTTACCGGGAATTGATTACCTATAAAAGTGGTATTCTTACCTGAAAAAACAGTAAAAATACCGGTTTTAAGGTAAGCTTACCAGTCTGTCTTGGTGAAATTACCAATAATTGGTAAAAAAAAAAGTGAGATGGTAAAGGTACCAACGGACCTTGGTAAAAACGCCGAGAATTTTTTTTCAGTGCAAACGACAATTTAGTGGGGCGGCAGAGAATTACTGGAAGGAAGGCACTCGAACCAGAGCGCAGAGCCGGATCCAGCAATTTGGCAACACCGGATTTTCTCAATTTAAACCTATGTTAAATTATCGATTCTTGTCGGAGCACCTCTGGCCCTTCCTGTGATCCAATGATCTAAACAAAATCGAAATCCCAATTTAAAGAAGGAGTTTGGGGTGTTTCGGCTCCTGCAGTCTGGCCGTTCAACCCTGGATCACCCTGTATAAGGGATTGGAAATTTCTCTGAGATACTTCATGAAATTGTACGTGGCTGTGAAATTTATGAAAAATATCGAATATACATTCCAGGGGCTGAGGATGCTGTTGCTCCGCCACTCAAAGACACCAAATGCGTAAAAATAACCATCTTTGTTCAATCACACCGAAAAAAAAGCGAAATTGATTTAACATTCTGGATGTTAGAAAAGAGTACGAGAACTCACAAAATGCTGAATCACCCGCAATGGCAGTTAGTTTTACATCTTGACATGGCTAAAGTAACTGCTGTAATAGTTTATTCAGCATTTTGTAAGTTCTCGCACACTTTTTTTACATCCAGAATGTTAAATTAACTTAACTTTTTTCTCGATGCAGTTTCAACCTCCCGCCACCTAATGTAAATAAAACATGCTTAATAGAGAATTAAATGATACTTCCATAGAAAAATATTAATATTTCTATTCATTTTTTCAAGATTTTAAATTCTCGACGATAGCTAAAACGGGAATAACACGAAATTTTGTGCAAAATTATGACCATTCTGCTCTCTTTAAAGAAGTGTATTGTGACAACTTGACAAGAGATTTGCAGCGTCGAAAACCGCGATACGCGGTAAGTCAGTAGTTTTAGAATTAATTTAACCATTACAGCCTACTTCCAAGAAAACTTTCAGTGGCGTGGCGTGCTTTGCAATATATCGATTAAACTTCCATTTAAACCTATGGAATAGGATCGAAGAACGCAGGGTTACCATAGCTAATAATGGCGAAGTATCGATAATCGATCATTCATGCCACGCCGCTGAAAACTTTAAAGAGTCGTCTAATTTTCCCAGCTTTTTCGGTAAGTCACTCACGGAAGTTATAAAATCATGAATCATTTGTCTTAGCAAAAATACCGACTGAAGTTGCACTATGGATCAATCGTTGATTTTCTTACTGAGGAGGGCTCTTATTTGAGATTTTTTATTTAAAAAAAAAATAAGTAACAGGTAACCCCTTAATAACTTCCGTATTATTTTGCTTTTGAATTGAAATTGAAATTGCTGTCTCCGCATGCATCACAACAAGTCGAAAAGAACTGAAATATCAGATCTGCTCTCTGAGGATGAAACATTTTGCCGCCCACTCCTCAATTTATTTCCCCAAATATCAGTACGCTCTCTTTTCATTACAGAAAAAACCACCTCTAAATTGCCAAATCAGTCTGAAGTCAATTTAGTCCTTAATCCGGTTCCAAATTAAAAGTTAGTTTAACGAAACGCCACTACTCTTCGTGTAGAAGGAAATCGTCGCTCCCTCTAAAAAAGCCCGACGATTTATATTTCCCGCCACAAATAACGATAAGTGAATAGCCAATCAGCGACGCGCAGGTAAATCGAGCGGGAGCCAATGAACGGCCTTGGTCTTGCTCGAAGGCGTATAGGTTATGTTGACGTCTATTCGCGAGACAAAAAAGAAAAAACTTTATCCGTATTTGGAATTCGGTGATTCATCCTGACCAGTTCCTTCGCTCCAGTCTCGCACCGTCAAATCTCAAAGAAAATGGTAAGTTCCCTGCAAATTTCCAATTTCATCTGCATGTTTAGCAATCCCATTCGCCAAAATTTCAGTCCAACTGATCGCATCTTCCCTTTCTGTTACAGGTTTCCTACACAGAAGACCAGCTGGCTGGTAAGTTGGAGTTTTATTTGAGCCTTATAAGAGATTGAGGTCAGAGCTTTGTGTAATGACACACCCAATCAGCTAAACTTTTCCTTATAAGGACATGGATTGTAAGTTTACTTTTACAATTATGTTATCCCCTTTCAGACATTTAGTCCTCTCATATATGGTGAAGAATCTCCAGCCTCTAAAATTTTCGAACCTCTTCATCTCCCTTTGTCCCAGTCTGTGATTACCTCTGCATCAAAATGTATGGATATGAAGCTGAGAAAAAAGTCATGACTTCTGTGGAAGGTCCGTGTTTTAGTTTGATTGATTTTTAATACTCTATAATTTTTCATCTTGGTGCTCCAATTTTGCCGTGACTTCCTGCTGCGATACCCAACGTCATTGTCTCATACTGCGGTGTTTGTTGTGTACTTGTTTATTATTTTGGATTCTCTTTGTTTCTGTGTGATGCGGTTGTGCCAACTACAGTCTTACATCCCCCATTTTAAACTAGACGGTCTTAGTGAATGTATCACCAATACTGACAACGAAATTCTAAGAAATCGACTGATAACTTTCTGTGCAGATCGTTTGTGACTGTTTCCCTGTTCTTTTGAATCAATCGCATATTCATGTGTAAAACAAAATCGGCAATTCATCTCGAATGGTCAATGTGGGTGGTATCTGTTCCCTTTTTTCCCTTCCTCAAAAGGCGGGAAGCTCGTTTCAGTGTATATTTGTCGAATAAGTGAGAAATTTTTATCAGCTGATGCTCGTAATTATTCAGTGGAATACTTAGCTGTTCAAATTGTTCAGATTTTTCACAAGGGATATATTTTTAATTCGTCACAGAAATAATTACAAACCCTGTCTGCTGGTCTGAAATGGCATCCCTAATCGTAGTTCAAATTTCTTATACCAGCTCATAGTACCTAATGTTTCTCAGGTTGCTAATTTAATACTTCTCTTTTGCGTCACTGAAATTTTTGTTCTGCATATCATCACTCTTTGTTTTACTCGGAGCTCGACCCAAAGTTGAATGAGGTACTTTTCCTCTGTAGAAATTATTCAGACTGATGTTTTTCCCCAATCGAATATTTAATTCTTAAGACTTAAAGATGAAGCGCAAGCAGCAGCAAATGAATCTGCACTTTCAATTGGATGAAGGTTCCATGTCACAAAAAGGACAATTTTAAACTGTGAAAAGAAGAAACGATAACAAGGTTTCCACTCATTTGACACCTAATATCTTTTTAACGTAATTCTCAAGATTTTCAAATACTTTCATACAACTTTCTCTAACTAGATTTTGTCAGCCAAAACTAAATATTTCATCCAATAAATCTTCAAAGCAAATGGCTGGTTTCTCACACTGCCAAGCAAAAGTTTTTCAGGAATATTGATTACCCATCGATTGGTTACAGATACAAACAGGGTTTCAATACGTAGGTAGTACCAATTTCATTCTGACATAGGTGAAGAAATCAGTGGCCTGACTGTTGAAATTTAAATCTGCATGACAAGAATCAAAAATCATTACATGGCGCAGATAGGACTACGTTTTGTTTTATCTTGCCGAAATAGCCAGTGAAAGTTTCAACAATCTGGCTGCAGAAAATTTAAACTAGTTGGTTTCTTGATCCAAGGATACCTTATTGTTAATCTCCCATCGTTTATCTCGTAGTAGAGCTGAATTTGTTAGAATTTGTCGTCATATTGGTAGAACCTGTCATAAAATTTGTTTGTTTGTTCCACTGACTCTTAAGCTTCTGTTTTTTCTGTTCTAGAATTCCAAGAAGCCTTCCAGCTATTCGACAGTCGAGGTGACAACAAGATCCATGTCTCTCAGATCGGAGATGCTTTGAGAGCTCTCGGACAGAACCCCACCGAGAGTGATGTCAAAAAATTCACTCATCAACACAAACCAGGTAAACCCTTGCCCTTTCTTTTTAAACCTTTGTCTCCTCCTTAAATAGACAACATATTTTTTTTTTTTTACTTAATTTGTCAGGTCCATTAAACAGTTGTGTAAGTTCTTATACTCTCACAATCAAATGTTTATACAGACATTTATGTCGTGTTTTTGCCCTCACTCAAACTTGAAGTGCTCTTTAAACAAGTATTGTAGTTCCATACTTTGATGCAAATTCAGGGGCGCCATTTGAGGGGAGCCCTGCGCTTTTGAGTCGAGCCGAAGAAAATGCTCCTCTGCCATTTCCAAAGTAAGAAGTTGATGAGGGGGAAAAAAAAAAAAAAAAAACTTGCTCGGCCCTGCCATAACCTGAGATAACGCCCCCGTGTGAATTCAAAATGCATTCATGATTCATGTGAAGGAACTATACATTTTCGACTAGAGATATACCAAGTAGATGTGAGTAAAACAGAAAGGTGCGGCTTATTACATATCCGTATGCATTTTGGCCTTAGGGGTAATCATCAGTAAAATACAGAGGAGTACAATTTAGAAATCTGCATCTGCTTGGTACATCTCTAGACGAAAAAGTACAATAATAAGTGCAATATGCTACCTTTCAAAACTTAACCGAAAGAAGTATTCATATTTACAATGGAAGTACTTATCTGCTCATCCCATGGAGCAGAATTTGGCAACTGTCAAATCTTATGCCTAAGTGTTGCTGTAAAGGACCCTACAACAAAACGGCCAAATCGGCCTAAACACGGAATCGTACGATTTTCTCAGGGATGATAGAGGGTCTTCCCAGACACTCAAAACTGGTCACATTTTTTGCCTAACCCCCAGGGAAAAGGGGGGAGAGGGGGTCAAAGTCAAAACTTTTAAATTAGCATAACTTCTCAACGGTTTGTCGTAGAAAGATGATCTTGGTGTCAAAATTTCCAGAAAAATGAAAGCTTTCAGAATATATGTATGAAATTAATTAAATTTTAAAATTTGACCCACTTTTAGGGCATTTTACAAGGTCCCCCTTTTGTAAATTTTCGTTTTTTGAGATTTTCGGTTGTTCGGTTCGCACGGATCAAAACAAAAACAATTTCAAATAAAAGTAGAGCGTTTAAGCTTTAAAAAAAGCCCAAGATGATCTTGGGGAAATGATTAGAAGCGAAGTTATGAGTCTTCAAAGTTGACGCGGCGCGCGGGAACCTTGTATGTTCCGAGTCTCAAGGTCACCTGCGCGCCCCGGATTGCCTGCAGGTTGCAAGTTTTTGTGTTTTTATGCTTCTGTAGGTCATTTTTAATGTAAATCATTCAATGAAGATAGTTTAATTAGAATTTTTTAATTTTCCACAATAGGCCTTCGGCGAGGCACACCACATTAACGTCAAAAAATTTTAACTGCGTTTCAAATAGCCCCCTCAAGAATAACTGAGACTTGTTTTGAAGCTCAAAGCTCGTCTGCTTCAACGAGAAACTATTTGGCTTTACCAAGTGAGTTCCGTCAAGCGCTGTAGCTTATAGCTCAATTAAAAAATTTTAAAATTAGGGGTACCCCAAAATTTGGCATCAATGGGTTATAATTTCTAAATGGTTCAGTTCTGTATGGATCATACGTATATTTGAACTGAGGGTCCATGGTTTCCTCTAAATTATAAGAGCAGAATCGTCATCGTCAGCAAATGTTTAATGAGGTATGATGGACATAATGGTTGATACTCTAAGCCCCCTCTCGCTCTTCCCGTAAAATTAAAAAATTTCGATTATTCTATCTTCATTGAATGACTTACATTAAAAATGACCTACAGAAACATAAAAACACAAAAACTTGCAACCTGCAGGCAATCCGGGGCGCGCAGGTGACCTTGAGACTCGGAACATACAAGGTTCCCGCGCGCCGCGTCAACTTTGAAGACTCATAACTTCGCTTCTAATCATTTCCCCAAGATCATCTTGGGCTTCTCTTAAAGCTTAAACGCTCTACTTTTATTTGAAATTGTTTTTGTTTTGATCCGTGCGAACCGAACAACCGAAAATCTCAAAAAACGAAAATTTACGAAAGGGGGACCTTGTAAAATGCCCCAAAAGTGGGTCAAATTTTAAAATTTAATTAATTTCATACATATATTCTGAAAGCTTTCATTTTTCTGGAAATTTTGACACCAAGATCATCTTTCTACGACAAACCGTTGAGAAGTTATGCTAATTTAAAGGTTTTGACTTTGACCCCCTCTGATCCCTTTTCCCTGGGAGTTAGGCAAAAAATATGACCAGTTTTGAGTGTCTGGGAAGACCCTCTATCATCCCTGAGAAAATCGTACGATTCCGTGTTTAGGCCGATTTGGCCGTTTTGTTGTAGGGTCCTTTGTAACCGCAAGGGTGCAGAAACGTCCCCAAAAAATGGGAAGGGTGGTGCGCTGTAGCGTCAAAGCTGCATGTTTCTTCGTAACTTTTAATTAAGATTGTGAGTTATTGTGAAATCACAGAAATTTGTGAATATGGGGATATATGGTATATGGTAATGTCTATATAAATCTGGGAAAAGAAGGGTTTTCATAATAAAAAAAAAAGCCAGTTCGGAAGATAGAGAGGCTAGATCATAAAATGGGAAAGCTATGAACTTTCTGCTCCCCTGGGTAACCTAGTAACAGATTGGTGGAAAACATGAGACCTGGAGAAAAGGACTTACCTGAAAGTTTTTTGTTTTTTCATGCTTTATTTTTTCCCGTGAAAATAATTGGACCGTCTCTTTTACATTTTTCTGTGAATTTTCCTCACTCATTGTATTAAAAATCTATCAAAGTTGCAAAGAAGCTTTTTAATCAGTTTTTTGCAAAGAAACTAAAACATCCCTAATTGAAGATTTTTATACTTTGCAACTGAGATACACATTTGTGGCATTTAGCCATTGATTGACTCTGATATTGTCATGAAGATAGTGGTAATATAATTTTTCTCACTACACCATTAAATTAATTCCATATTTTTTCAGATGAGCGAATCAGCTTTGAAGTGTTCCTCCCAATTTACCAAGCTATTTCCAAAAACCGATCTGCAGACACAGCTGATGATTTCATTGAAGGTCTGAGACATTTTGACAAGGACGGTAATGGCTTCATCTTATCCGCAGAATTACGTCATCTCCTGACCACTCTTGGTAAGAACCCATGAAACATTAACATCCTTTTTAATCTAAAGTGGAATGATTTTTATATTAAAAATGTGAAAAAATTTAAAACCATGAAAAAAAGAGAATAATGTTCTTCTTAAATCAGGAAAAATGAGTTTCCTATCAATTTACGAGATTATTGAGTTAATCCTTTATGGCAGGGACCAGATCTCCTCATTGCCCCCTAACCTTGGCAGATTGACTGCCTGATTTGAAAGTATAAGTTAGATCCTTGAGAGATTTTTGTGAAAATCAGGGTGATAATGCAATCTAGATAATATATCCTTTTACCTGAATTTCCTAAGTTTCCTAAGCTTAAGGTTCCCCTTCAAATCTACAAATAAAGTGCAAGAAAAGGGTCCTAGCCCTGAAAATTTGGGGGAAAGGAGAGTATCACTTAAAATGGGAAGGCTATTAATATTCTGCACCCCTGATGAAATCATTACGCATAAAATTGTATTTTCTGCCGTTAATATGTCAAAAACATTACATTTTATGAGCCAAAAGGAGAAAATTAATGCCGGTCTCAGACATTTTTTAGTTATATTATTTCAGAAAAAAGTTATGACTTTTCTAAACTTGAAATGCATCATCCTTTTTCAAGAGAGCCATTTATTTTGCCTTGATTAAAAAATTAGAATTCGAGTTTTCGATTACTTCTTTTACACTTAAAATGCTGGATTCCAAGTTTACAATGCTTTTCTGCAGAACTGCTTCTTCAAAACCGCTGATCTCAAACCGTCAAAAATTCTGTTTGGTTAAATATTTGTGAGCCTGTTAACCTGAAATATTTCCTCAATCTGGTGGTATCAGTATCTTAAGTTTGAGTTTTCTCAGTACTAAGGTTCCTCGTATATAGTGAACAGTCACATTTTAATTTTTGGCATCATTCATTTTCTGTAATTTGCATACTTAACAGTGAGTAAAACCTTGTTCTTTCTCTTGTGTACAGGTGAAAAATTAACCGATGAAGAAGTCGAACAGTTACTGCAAGGTCAAGAAGATTCCCAAGGAAACGTCAACTACGAAGAATTCGTACGCATGGTCATGTGCGGCTAAAAATACTATGACCTCACAGTATTATTTTCTTTCTCTTCATTTGATACTTCCACATATCATTCGTCCTTTCACTTCTTCCCTTCTTTTTTCCATTACTTATAATGCTCTTCCCTTTTCCTCCCCGTTTGTATTTGTAACTTATTTTATCTTGATTTTGGCACTTCTACGCAACAATATGAGTTTTAAGAAGGCTCCTAAATTATTTTAGTGTTTATTCATATTTAATTGTTGCATTTAGTATTATTATTTTTTATATATTAATAAATATTTAATTTTAGTCAAGAAGTTGCCTTTTCTCACAGAACATCCTCTCATCTCTTTCATGAAATTCGATGTGAGCCTGACCCAAGGAAGTTTTTTCATGACTGGCTCCACCGTGCTAAGCAAGAACACCGTAAATTCATCAAGATTTTCCCTCGTTTTTTTTGGAACTTACCACTTTATGAAATAAAAACTGTTTTACCCATGCACCTCAAATTTTCAGGATGAGTTCTTGACAGTATTTGCGGAAGAATTCTGTAAAAACATTGTTCCAAGCCACAAAAGTTTTTCTGCTATGATACATTGTTTCCATAAAATGTGAAATGGTGTTTACGGTGTTTTTGCATTGCACAGTAGAGCTATCCTCGGTGCTAAATTATTTTAAAGTCCTACCCATACGGTGAACCTTTCGTAGCTCAACTAGCTGTCAAGCCAATGTCGCTTTAATACTGATTTATCTCCTAATTTTTGGCTGAAACCAGAACTGGTTTACATATAGTATGCATTGGCTAATTATTTGGACATTTTTTCACAGCTCCTGATTAAAGATTTAAGGTCTCAAGTTAAGACATTGGCAGCGAATAACAAGACAATGAATTTTTCTTGCTTGGATACCTATTTTGGTTTTATTAATCATGAAGTTCCACTTGATTTGTTTTGAAATAACCAGTTGTAATGTGCTCCTGGATTTAATGGCTCCGATTTTATTCTTATAATTCAAAGTGAAACAAGCCTTTTTTTCAAATTAATTTAATAATCTCCACATTCACTTTTTTCTTAAGGTAATTCGTGAAGCTCAAAAGAAGTGGTCGAACTGGCATCGCATCTTTTAGGTCAAAAATCTTGGCAGATTTTGAATTTTCAGCAAAACAAAGGCATGAGCAGCGCATGAGCTTAAAGAATCATTCTAAACCCCAAAATCGGCAAAATTCAGAGGAATGAAAGCAGAATAGTGATTAGAAAAAACCTCACATTCGGTTCAGCTATCGAATGCAAGGTTTTTTTCCTAACACTATTCTGCTTTCATTTCTTTGAATTTTGCCGATTTTTGGGTTTAGAATTATTCTTTAAACTTATGCACAGAGGCTATTGTCCTTTTTTTTGCTAAAAATTCAAAATCTACCGTGATTTCTGACCTAATCGATGTGATATATCGCATGCCAGTTCGACCTTGTCACTTGAGCTTGACAAATCACCTTAACATAGCTTTACCTTGGAAAAATTAGATTCACCTTAGATCAAAAATACTCTAGTAGAATGGATAGAGTTCGACAGATGTGTGCCAAGTCACATTCTGGAAAAAGTGAGTTTGCAATACCATTTTGAATCAATTGTGTAAATTTTCTAAAAAATTCAGTCTAGAAAAAATATTTGTTCAACTTTGTTCTTGACGTTGAGTCTTATGGAGGAATAAAATTTAAGACCTCTGATAATTCTGTTCAAACTTAATGCGTTTCTGTAAAAACTGTCCGGTTAGACTTATATTTAAAAGCGCATCTAACCAATCATTTTGAAATTATTTATGCACAGTTATTAGTGCCAAATGATGAAGTAAAAAAGAAATTTTTGGTCTCGAGGTCATTAGGAAGGAGAGAAGTCCTCTCACCTACAATTTTATGCACTTCGCATCTGAAATCTTAACCTTGCTCGGAACGGGTAACATTAATAAAGTCATATGTCAAGAGAACAAAATTACTCGCCAGGTCCTGGTCAAATTTTCTAAGAAAAATGACATGGTTCTCATTTAGGGGGCGAGCATAGATTATTAGCTTGAATACCTGATACTTAAAGGAAACATTTCAAAACATGATTTAATATTCTGCTGCCAAAAACAATTTTAATTGTTGTAAGTTTGCCAATTGATTTGATTGTTTTCAATGATTTACAAATTTGAGAATTCCTAACATAGGTACATAACTATTGAAAAAAGACAACGAATTGTAAGAATAAAAATTGTATTCGTTGATAGAAATGAACATCAACAGTAAATGATACAGAAAATAAAAACTTAGCAAATTTTCCTGGGAAAATTTTACTCATAACGGCGAACTACAATCTTATGAGCATTCTGCAAAACCTATGCATGTCAAGTCAATGCCTGTCAGTCATTTACATGCAAGTTTACATGATTTTTGAAACATTAATGCAAGGGAAAATGTGGACATTGAACATTATAAACATTCTAAACACATTCAACAAATAATGTTTAATCCAGGTCTAGAAAAGACTTTTAAACTACTCCCTACCTAGGTAGTTCAAATTATTCAGTTCCAAAATTCATTTATTTTGGTGCCTGGGAGAATTGATATTCCCCGACAATTTCAAGATGGAAACATTACCTAAATGAAAATGGGCTTTAGTTCATTGTATAAAATAGGTCAATTTCTTTTAAAAATTATTATTACCGTCCATGATCAAGTTTCTGAAGGTTTTCATACACTGCAAGACACTTCTATGCTCACTAAAAGTTTCCACAAAAACTACCATCTGTTCGTAAACTAGATGGTGAATTTTTGAGGAATGGAGGATTTACGTTCACACTCATTTATTCCACCAAAATTCAATGAGTAGTCTTCCACTCATCTTATGAGTCATGAAAGGCTAAGTTACTTTACATTAAAGAATTTGATTAATCAAACTGGGCATTTCAAAAATAAAGATTAGATACATTTCAGAAGAACAAGCTTGTTGATTATGCCAAAAATGAAAAATATTAAAGTTCTTTCAACTTTTTCTTCAGAATTTCTGCCCCTTTAGATTTATTTTTTGATATTTTGGTGGAAACAGAGGAATTTTTAAGTTTGTCAGAGAGCGATTTAATTGCCTCAGGAATCTTAGACTCTAAAATACATACAAGAAGGAAGCAACCCCTATTCGATTCAGTCCATCTCTTCAGTGTTTGTGCAGACAGACGATTTACTAAGACACTACAGAATGTATTGGAGCTAACGGTCACCTGTTTCGTGTCATGTTGAATTAGTTTTTTTAGCATGAGATGGACACCTAGATCTTCAACTACGGGGACTTCCTTCCCTGTCTCATCAGTCAATTTACTCTCTTCATTAACTAAGTAATCGGAGACCGCTTCGAATGCAGCCGTTACCTCAGGATGAGCACCGGACTTTAGAATCGCAAGCGTGACCATGGTAATAGAATGATTGGACACCCAGAACTGAACGTCTTTTTGCACCAACTCCAACAACGGCTTACTGATACTCTGAAGAAGCTCCTTCTCACGAACTTCCTTGTCTTTCTTGATATCTGCGATTTCGTCACCTTTCTCCATCATTTTCACTAGTTCCGGCGTAAAGTAGGCAGGATCACGATGAGCAACCAAATACAAAATAACTTTTCTTCCGTATTCGTTCACGGCGACGTCAGCTACAGCTTCAATGAGTTCTTTGATGAGCACCTTCGACAGAAGCACTGTGTCGTCGACGTAATCAAATAATGCTAACAAGACCAAATGCCCAAATTCAGAGATGGCAACTTCTTTGACATTACCTTTCAGCTGTTTGACGATAGCTTTCTTCGTTTTCTTCGAGGCATGCCACAAGACCATCATCCAAACTTTGGCACCGTCTTTCAGGTGGATTGTGTTCATGATAGGACTGCTTGAGATGCTTTCAAGGAGTTCTTCTTTGCTTTGCTTATCTGCGGTTTCGAGGTATTCAAGCAGAACTTTTTGCACTAAGGAAGATTTGAGAACCTTTTCTTTCTTTAAGAACTTGTTCAGATTTGCTTGAACTTTCCGCAGAATGGCATCTTTCATTTCAGGAATCACAGTAATAGCCTCAGAGAGCGTTTTCACTTTATTAAGTTGCGGTAAAGTACCGTACATTTCTGCTTTCATTTGAATCTTCTGCCTCGGGTTTGCCCAAGTTGTGTAGACTAACTCGATAATTGGCGATGAGATCACATTACTCAGAAATTTGACTGTTGAGCCACTCAAGGCATCGATGAGGGACTCTTTCATTTTGTCATTACCATACTTCAACATGCGCTTCACGCAAGTACTGGAGTACTTGGAAGTTATCATTGGTTTAACATCTCCTATCAATTCATCAAATATTGCTTGCCGAATTTCCTCGGAGCCGAGTTTGAGGAGCCACTGCACAATGCGAGCCATATCATGGGAAAATATAACACTTTTCATTTTGCCTGCCAACAGCTTGTGAAGCTCCTTAATTAAAGTAGAGCGCTCCTCTTTCGGACAGTCTGTTCTACGTACTTTCTCCCAAATCTTCTTAGCACTCACAGATAATTCGTAATTAGAACTATCGTGCGCTTTTCTGATTTTAAGGAGTTCTTTCTTATCTTTTTTAACAGAAGACCAATTGGGCTTACCATCTTCTGATTCGATTTCACCGCTGATAAAGGGCGTTCCATCTTTCTTAAATTTCTTTACTGGTTTCTTCTTAGCTGGTCCTTTTTTACTACCCTTCTCACTGAACTTTCTCTTCTTTTTGACGGGAACATCATCACTGACAAGGTCGGGTTTTTCATCATTGGATTCATCTTCGGACTTCACTTCCATTTCCTCAGGATCGTCCTTCTTCAACATGGCAAGAACTTAATACTCACAACCGACTGAAAAACTGAATTGACGAATTTTAACTTAGAGGAACTGTTTTAAGGACTTTAAACTAACGTATAATTTAAATATTGTCATAAAAGTAACAAGACTTCATCGCCGCACGCGAAAAAATTGGCGAAATGGTACGACCAAAGACATAAAGACGGAGTGCTCGTATCTAAAAGCACGGGGAAAAAGTGAAGCTAGGTTCGGCGCTGCGCGTTTGTGTGAGTGTGTAAATGAGCGCGGGAATCCATGGCGGCAAACGGAAATTTGATTTGAACTTGTCCTCTTGATTTTTCCTTATTTCTTCTTCGAAACGTGTTTTAAATGCTTAAAACGATTATATTAAGAAAGTTCGGTCTGCGTCCTAATATATTACACCTACTTTTGCTCGGTAACAGGCAGTAATCTCAGATAAAGTTAGTTTTTCTTCTGCTTATGGTGGTTCTGCAGGTTCAAACAGGCCGTTACAGTTCTAGATCTACGTTACTCCCAAATGAAATCAGTCGGTCGACGACGGACCGAAACTAACCTAAAGTTAATAAAATATGAGTGTGTACCTGAATTTGGGCAAAAATCAACCTAAAATACTTTGTTTCCGCAATTTTATTAATTAGTTCCCGCCCTACATTTGAATTCAAACTTGTCCCGATTTCGCCGCCAATCCTCTAGCCAATAGTAGAGGTGATTGAAAAGAAGCTCTAGAAGCTTCATTTTTTGCTTTTAGTGCTCCGTCTTTATGTCTTTGGGTACGACAACAACAATCTAACCTCAAAAACACGTGCTCCCAAAGAGCCGAATATCCAACAACAAGCAAACCCCAACATCGACGCCTCGCACATTTGGCGGTAGATTTGAATTTTCGGAGAGCTGAACCAATGATACTCTAACGAAAAATTATTTTCTCAGGTCAGCATAGCATTCCACACCGCTGGTGAACAAAACTAACAATTAAATGCCTTATCCTTGGAATTTCATCAGAATATTCTGACATATTCGCATCTCCTGCTTGATTAATGAGAAATTCAATAGATGCCACACAGTGATGGATAGTGGGTGGGAGGGGTACAGGGCACACTAATTTTTAAAACATTTCCAGCCATCTGTAACAAAATGCGACAACCTGTGTACAGCTAGGATGAATTATAATATTTCTCTTCCTCATAGTACACATTGTTTCAACGAGTTTCTCCGCATTGAAATCCGCATGATCTCCAAGAATTTATTTCAGTCAAGTAGATTTCTTAGAAACACCCTTCTGTTTATTGGAAACTATGCGTTTGAGACGAAAGCGGGTTTCTAATTCTACTGCTAGATGCTCTGCAATTGCTAGAGATGAGGTAGCTGCAGGGGAAGGTGCGTTTCGACAGTGTATCACTCTCTCTGCAAGTACTCCAGTTTTGGCTGTGTCGAAGTAGAAGTCGTCTAAAAATTCTCCATTGATATCCAGAGCTTGAGCTCGAACACCTGTTGGCCCTCTGAAAATTAAACAAAAAAACATCATGAGAGAGACCTCGGTTGCATGGACCGACACATGGCATTCTCGTTCTTTGCGATAAATCGATTGATCTGCCATTTAAACCTATGGAAAAGGATCGATAAACAGGGTGTTCGCAACAAACACCTTAATAATCAATATTTTACCATACCTGCAAATAGGAAAATTTCGATAATAATCGATCATTCATACTTCGCCACTGCTTGACTACCATGAAATTGTTCAAGCCATCCCACCTCGCAAGTAATTCTCAAAAAGAATGCAAAAAAATAACACTGCCGAAACGTTTCAGCTATTCAATGCTATTAACCTATTCAATGGCATATATGTGTCTTGTTCCAAAACTAGGAGCAATTGCAATACTGAGCTGGAGTAAACAGCATTGCTATAGCAATGCTGTTTGAGTGGCTATAGCCACTCAAACAGGGTTGGCTTTATTTTTTTGCCACCAAGGGCGACAATTTTCTGTGCTCATCATTCAAACTTTTTTTTCTTTTCTTGATTGAGCTTGTTTAATTCTGTGTGATTTTACTTGGCAGCATGTTTGATTGAAGAAAAAAAAGAGGCCATCACTTGCGAGGTTTGCCATTTGGCTTTCATAATTTGCCATCCAAAGCTCCAGCCCCCAAAGCATCCCTCTAAATCTGTGTCTCAACTGATACCTTGTACATAATCATGCATGAGTGAGAGCTTGTATTTTTACCTCCTTTTTGGAGGGTTTCCAATTTTGTTCCCATTATATTTCAATCTACAGCAGATTTGTCCACAGCCCTAAAATTTTATTTTCCATTTCAGTTATATCTATCTTTCGATTTTTTATATTATTTTTAAAGACATTGATAAGTACATGCTTATGTCATGCCACACTAACGTCAGGACTTTAATTTGTTGATGATACACAAGTATGACATCTATATCCATCAGGAATAAATGAAAAATGTAGGGAGAGAAACATACCTTGAAATATCTCTGGCGGTAATATCTGGAATAAATTTTTGGAGCTCTTTAACTTGCAACCCAATCACTATTGATTTAAGCATCTCCGAAGTCCCAAAGGCAAAATACTTGAATGCAAGCTTCTGGAAACTACGGCTGAACAAAGTTTCTTTTAATTCAGAAAATTTAAAGTCCCACCATCTGTGAAAAAGAGAAAAATGATCATTTTATTGACAACTGTATCAGTCATGGAAAGCAGCCAAACACAATCTTGCTAATGCCTAGCCAAAAAACAAGTCAATAAGCGTTTACCATATATCACCAGGTTTAAAAGTTGTTCTAAGTGCATAGTGACCAGTCGACGGTGAAACTACCAAACCACGTATCTCGTTTGCGGTGTTTAAAAATCTACGCTCACATTTTATTTTTTTGAAGTAGACCAAATCAATATCATTCCTTGAAATTTTCACGGAATTTTCTCCGCACAAAGGGGAAAAATTACAGAAATTTTCAAGACTGGACGTTAAGTAGTTTTTCATTTAAAAAATAAAGTATGACAGGTAGTCTGCGTTGTCGCAAACCGAGATATGTGGTTTGGTAGTTTCGTCGTCACAGTGCTTTATCACCTGAGTGACAAAAAAAGAAGTATTTCAGGGAAAAACTGTTTTGTCTGCAAGAACTCAAAATCCAGCGATGAAAGAATTTATAAATATTTTTTGACTCGGCCCTTGAGAGGAGCTCTCATTTACTCACCTGTAACCCCTGCGAAAAGTAAGAACAGCATAGGAACCAACCCAAATTGACTGATCTATGCTCAAAATTCAGTGATGAAACAATATATGAACATTTTTTGACTTAGCCTTGGAGAGCAGCTCTCATTTGCTCACCTGTAACCTTCCCTGCGGAAAGCGAGAACAGCATTGGGACCAACCCAAATTGACCCATCCATGCGTGGGGTGAAGTGTACTCCAAGAAATGGTAATCTAGGATCTGGTACCTGCGCATCAAAAATCAAGAAAATATACTACAACATAGGAAAATACTAACACCTAAAAATTAGTGTAACATACAAAGATGCAACTATGGATTAGTAGTTAGTAATTCTCCACCTGTTCAGCAACTTGCCATACACATTTGAATATCTGAGACTGTGACTGTATCACTCTGACTGTGTGAACGAAATATTGAGTGGGTGGGAACTGCACATTTGCATATTACACTGAGAAATCACTGCGCTCATGCACCGCAAGCTGGAATTGCAGAGGTGTTTGAATGCCATGGTCAAGTTCATGATCTTGAGTAAGAATGTCCTCGTGAGTGAAGATGCTCGCGAATTCAATGATGCCACATTTTTGCGTTAATTAAAAAATTGTATTACTTTTAATTATTAGCTATTGTAAATAATAAATAAAAAAAAACTTATTGTATTTACATTCAATACATTAATTTTCTTAATTCTTCCAATGACCGCTGCCTTCTCAATCTATGGATTTTGACTTCGTACTTTCTTAATTTTATGTACCTACTGCCTACTCATGCCAATATACTTTCACAATAATGCTTTTTAATGATAGTTAAACGCAAATGTCTATTTGGATCAAACGAATTTTTTTTTTTTCTAAAAAAAAAATGATTATGCATTAGAATAAAATTGAAGAAAAAAAATTACTATCATTTATATTTTTTCAAAAATTTGACTTAGACACTATTTTATATTTTAATTGATGTGCATAAATGATTATTTTATAGAAAAAGGAAAACGAAGTATTTCAAAACAAAATACTTCCTACACTTCCGATCGGAACAACTGCGGGAGATAAATTATATATCATCCTACACATAAGGATTAATTTTACAGCTTACATTTATTTGACAAAAAGGTAAACATTTATTTCGTAACAAGATGTTTGGGTGACACCATGGGTATTATCAAGGTGTGTACTTTCTGTTTGCAAATGTATATTTTTGAACACTTTCAGAATATTGGGTATCATATTCATTATATCCATTATTATCGGTGGTTTTAATGAATTTACAGAAGCAAAAAATTGAAAAAAAAAATGTATAAATTATGTATGGTTTCGTTAATATATAATCATATATAATCTAATTGTGTGTGTGTGCGCAATTGTTTTTTAAAAAGTTTGAATATTCGGAGGCCGGTTATTGTACTATTACTTCTACGTAGTTAAGTCCACTTGACGAAGTTTAAAACACTAAAACCGGCTTCTCAATATAATGATAAAGTAGTAGTAGTTTTTCTACCACAAAAAACACTCAGTTGCAGACATTGAAATGTGTATCGCAATTGTTATCCTTCTCACATAGACAGTTAGGGCATGAGATATTCGAATGTGTATGGGGAGATGTTGAGCACATGGAGAATTACTTACCAACTAATGAATTTCAGATGTTGCAATGAGTATTGTAAGTTGTTCAGCAACTTTTCGCCTCCTTATCCAGGCAGTCAGAGTCTCAGATATTCGAATATGTATCGCAAGTTGCTAAACATGTGGAGAATTACTAACTACTTGAATTCTCAGAGTTACGAGCAGCCTCACATACCCAATTACCCACTCATTTATTTGTCTGCTTGAATAAGTTAAAGTCAAATAAAACAGAGATTGCACGGGTAAAATTACTGGAAATTTTCTAGATCTTCCAAATTTTCCAAGAAAAATTATGAAAACAAACCAAGTATCTAAAATACTGCTTTTTTATACCAGAGAACTTTTGGGAATTTTTTTATTTTATTATTTTTGAACCTTAGTGAGAAAAATTCTTTACTTCTTTCAAAATTGGACATGGAACTTTTTTTGGGAAGATGCTAAGATAAGTTCAGCTCTGAATTTCTACTACATTTTGCATGAACCTTTTTCATCCATATGAATACTCAACTAGAGGTGAAGTTTTGAACATATGAGAGGCAAGCAAGCTGCTCTGCCATGGTTATATGGAAAAGGGATATCATATTAGAGATACTATTTCACATTATTATTGACTTACTGGATAAATATTACCGTTGACCAAATGCTGCTTCTTATAAGAGAGCTTCAGGTACTCTCCACGAACGGGAACTATAACAGGATTTGGGGAACAACCAGTCATCATCGCGAGCTTATCAGCGTACAGACCGCCACAAGTGCAAACATACTTTGCATAAATATTCTGCAAACACGAGAAGATTTATTGAATTAACGCTCATTGCCACCTTAAAACAGAGAATCAACACTACAGAAAAATTATCGTAAATTCTTTAGAAACTAGATGTAAAGAATTTTGGAGTTGTGGTACGGAAAAAAATATACACTTGCTCACCTCCTAAATGCTCCTGAACATAGAGACAATATCATAGTCGACATAATAGAGTAAATAGTCGCAATATCTAATGCTTGCTGCCACAATATAAGGGTCGGCTTTACCATGAGCTGCAGGCCCCCCTGTAGCAGATTTTGAAGAGGCGGAAAATAACAGACAGGAGCAGAAGCTCTGAAAATGTTGACCAGTTTTTTCCTTCATTTTTTAAAATTTTAATCTTAGTACCCATGATTCTGGTATACCTAGTTTAACATCCAACAACAACACTTATAGATTCCTAGCGGCAAAATGGTAAATTTGGCCCTGAAAAATATTACTAGACTCTGCAGAAAACAAAAACTAGAGTAACAATCAAGGGAGCCTACATTAAAAATTGGCTTTAATATGAATAAAGAACTTGCTGCAAGTGCAATCCATCAAAAATTGTTTTGCACTATTGCATAAAACTATTAATGGAATGTCTCAAAAATACAATATTCTCTAATATTGCACATTAATTATTCACACAACAAGCAGGTTTGTAAATCAACTCCTCAACAAGATATTAAAAAAGATATAACGTTGTTTTCCGGACGAAGGAACGTAACTCCATTCCAAAGTTGCAAATTGACTGAAACAATTCGATATTTTACAAGCCCATACCTGTGCAATTGTTGTCCAAAATTTACCTGCTTTCCGCATAATATCAGTTGAAAAGTTAGTGCAGTTTTCAGTTGGAAGTGCCCAATAGTCTACAGCCAAAATTTCAATTTGCGAGGGGCAATTTGGCAATATTGAAATGAAGTTACGTTCTTTCGTGGGGGAAATGACGATATTTGGTATTTTTTTCCATTTAACCACTGTTAATTGGTAACATTTATATTATTCTTGTAAAGGAGTTGATTTCCAGAAAACCTGTTGTGTGATTTGTTTGCTGGGAAAAACTTTTAAAGAGGAAACATGTTGCATAGCAGTGCTTGATACCTTGTTTAGAAGCCCATAATTATGCATAATCTGCCTGAAATTCTCATTACCTCTCTGTAAATCAGTGACTATGAGGGCAGAGTGTACTACTTGCCTTACTTACCGAATTAGTTCTGCCTACGATTCGTACTGGAAAATCGTAAGACTTTTTTGGAGTGTCATGGTTTTCTATTATTCCGATAACATCAAAATAAGGGATTATTGTTCCACCTGCTGACTCAAAGTCTCGGCTGTAAGATTCTGCGACCATACCCCAGTCTACAATTCCTGTCTCTGGGGAGTGGAGAGCTTTCAAACCCTGGAAGAAAAACATTCCAATAAAATACTTTTTACATGATTTATGATATCAGGACCTCATCACGTTTTTTATTGGTTACCTCTATTTTATTTTTTGCGCTAGGGCCTTCTGCGACTCTCAATCACCATTGAAACTAATCTTCTCACAGATCATAGGCTTATGGCACCTTCTGATAAGTAACTTAAAGGTACAACCGAGGTGGCAAAATTTCATGAAAAATAATATCTTGAAATTTCACGGGAAATATTTCATGAAAGTTTAGAAATTTATAAAAGATACTAAAATATACCGGTTCCTTTTCATGTTTCGAAGGTTTTAAAAATTGTGACTTTCTTCTAATTTTGTATGTTTGAGTTCGGGTTGCATATTCTAGCCCCTGAAAAATATGAAATACTTCACAGCATCATCAAATTTCATGAAATATTTCACTGAAATTTCCATGCTTTCATTTTTTTCTTACGTTTCATGCCACCCTGGGTACGACTACTTATTAAATAGATACCTTACCTTACAATATGGCTCTACTTCCTTGATTTCATTTCCATGTAACATTTTCACACTTGTTAAACCATTCTGCAAGCTGTTACTGTAAAGTGTGTCTAGTTTTTCGATTTGTTTCTCTTCTGTGGCCACGATCAGTTTACCACACTTCTTATACGGAATGCCTTTTTCATCAAAATACTTGTATGATTTCTTCATTCCACTCACACACAAGCGAGCTTTCAATGAACCAGGCTTGTAATAGATACCTTTGGAGAAAAGAGTAAAAAAATAATTTTTAGTGAGCCATATCTTCTCGCGAGAAGTCTAGGATCCATTCTGACTTTCTCAAAAATTGATATCCATGACTGTCAGCCCAGGGGGCAACTCTTCGGTAATTTGTCAGTTTTGCTCTATTTCTTAGTCAGAATGCTGATATGAAACTGGTCAACATAATGTTTTGGAACTTCAATTACTAAATGAGGGGCTCGGAGGGTAAGGCGAGTAGGCGCAGCTTTGGAAGAAATTGAGATATTCGTGATTTCAAGTAAAACAAGTCTTGACGCATATTCCGTGAAAAATTCGCTCTCAAATTTCAATTTTCAAGCAATAAAAAGTCAGTTTGAACTTTCTCTCCGGCATAAGGATCCATGTAATTTCAAATCTTCAAACAGAAATTTCTCGAAATAGCAAAAACTGCACTTATGCGCCTTGTCTTCCAAGCTACTGAAATGAGTTTTTGATATTACCGGGTATATTTTCAATTTTTAAAGTCTGATCGACTTAAAGGAGAGTGAAACAAGGTAAAAGTTTTCATTACCTAACTCATCAAATCGAAATCCTGGTAGTTTTGCTTGAATTTAAATAAGAGTATCTACCATTGCACCAAAAGAACTTTGTCAAAATGCATCAATCGGCTCCTGAAGAGGTCTCAAGGAGCAAGATCTTTGAAATATCTTTTGGAAACCAGAGGAGCATTTCCAAGTATCCTAATACCTATCAAAAATTCTTTTTTCTTCTCATTATTTCAGTACTTAAACAAAAGAGGAAGAGAGAAGAGTGCATTACTTAGCTGAGGCGATTTAGGAAGAGGATCTACCTACCAGCATGAACGACACCGCTGTTGTGGCCTGTCTGATGGGTACCAACAGAGTGTTCTTTCTCTAAAATGGCCATAGTCAATGAAGGGAAACGCAGTTTCATCTCCCTGGCGAGAGCTGTGCCAACAATGCCACCTCCTATGATGACAAGATCAAAATATCTCTGCATTTTTCCGGTTCCTAAAAGTACACATTAGGCAAAAACATTTGGTGAGTAATGAGAAATGACAATTCTATGGATCAATCAGTAAATAAATTAGAAAGAAATGCCTGTGAAAGTCACGTGTCGCTTTGAAAATATAAAAATATTGATTACCTAGTTTTCCTTTTTGAAAATAAATGAGGATAAAAAATTTACAAAGCTCCAAATCAAAATTCAAGTTTTCTTCACTCTCACCATTGAAAATTCATAGGAAAAACCATTAAGATAAGAGCAAAGTGACCTCTGATAATTAAGAACATTGTACACTTCACTTCCGCTAAAGTACTCACCTGGGTACGTACTAATGACTGCTGTTACTCTCAAGTTTTCTGCTGTCTGCATTTAGAGGGACATTAGGAATGGTTTGGACCATCATTTGAGATTTTAAATTTCTCTTATAATAGGAAATAATTCAGAGCTGTGACAATTGCCTAAATCCTTACATGAAAATTTCATGAGTTCAATCGATCAAGGAGAAAACATGTGAAAATACAATGCGAATGTGAAAAAAATGCCACCTTTGACTGCTTGTTGCATCTTGCCCTTGCTACTCAAGTTGAACAGCTTGATTTTGTTGTCAACTACTTGAAACTGCGAGAAAAACTAGCATTCTTGTAGAGTCCTTCCTTTCCGAACTTCAATGATAACTGATAAGCGCAGAGTACAGAGTTCCATGCGGTGATAAGAAAATATAAACACTGATGGTTGGACTCAATCAACGGTGAGTTTCGTAAGCCCCGAATTAAATTTCATCAATGTCAAGTTCAAAATAACACGCTCGTCTTATCATTATCAACGAGTGACACAGTGATAATGCCAGTTTCCACACACGCCTTGCCGATAATTCACAAGATTCGAACTGTTATATTCGCTAATATCTGTTGTAATTTATAGACAACTGCTTTATTAAGTTTTCTCAAGCAGCGTTGAGTTCTATACGCAATAATTGTTCGTGTTTAGGGTCGGTGAACGTTCCGTACCCGCAGCAGAAGTATCGAACACGTTGGTGCAATTTGTGTTTCCGAATCTCTACATACACTGTTTACCGACTGTGAGGCAACGTGCATTTTCCGAGGCAACTGCACTCTTATTCTCTGGACTTCGCCCGACCTAAGTACACATCAATTTCTCAATCGTGTTCAAGTTTACTGTACAACAATCCTCAGTGACAAATCAAGTCTTCATCTCTCAAATTGGTCAGTGTAAGTTTTGATAAAGTATTCAGACTACTGTCAGGACTTCAAAATCCCACAATGATTCGACAGTTTCGCTCTTTAGTTCTTGGGGCGCCTGGTTCAGGTAAAGGCACAATTTCATCCCGAATCGTAAAGAGTTTCGATTTGACTCACATCTCAAGCGGTGACATCTTCAGGCACCATATCGCAAACAAAACCGAAGTGGGGAAACAAATTGAATCAATCCTCAAATCTGGATCCCTCGTTCCAGACGATCTTACCCTTAAAGTAATCACACAGGAGCTCCAGAAACATTCTCAGAAGAACTGGCTTCTTGACGGTTTCCCGAGGACAAAAGTTCAAGCTATCGAACTCAACAAAACCACTCCAATTGATCTGGTGATAAATCTAGTCGTTCCATTTGATATCATCATCGATCGATTGAGCAAAAGATGGATTCATGCGCCGAGCGGGCGTGTCTACAATCTTGACTTCAACCCACCCAAGGAACCTGGTTTGGATGATGTAACAGGAGAAAAACTTACGCAACGGTCAGACGACACACCAGAGTCAGTACGGAAAAGGTTAGAAATCTACACTGATAAAACTAAACCTGTCAGTGACTATTATAGAGAATTAGGAGTTTTAATGGATTTTGAAGGCAACACCTCTGATGAAATTTGGCCTCATGTCCACGATGCTCTTAGTGGTAAATTGCCGAAAAAAGAAGCCTCAAGATCCACTGCCTAAGTATTTTTGCACTTCACTGATTGCACTCAGTGTAATTTTCAGAGAAACCATCGTGAAAAATAGGGTATTTCTAAAGAAAGTCACATTTTTCACTTTCTAACTTCTTTATTCAAGATATTCTGTGGATATCAGTCTAGTCCCTACAATGTCTCTGCACAAATTTACTACTTACTTATTTATTTTGAAATAGCTATTACCTAACATTTTTTATTATTGTTTTTTGTCGCCGGCACAAAGGAACGTGTCTTGTTCACGCTGTCTTAGTCTTTCTACAAAAATTTTATTTTTTCATGCAAAAACTGTTGCATGAAATATTCAGTAGGTAGTCTGGAAATTTCAAAGTCTTTTCTCTTGAAGGTGAAGATAATCACAAGAAATTTCACAAATATTCATGCAACTGTTCTTCCATAAACAAATAAAAGTAAGTAAGAAATACTGCAACAGCGCAGTCGAGATACTTACGTTTCTTCTATGGGAGACAACAAATTGCTAATGGTGATTTTTAGACTCATGTTACCCATTTATCCCATATAAAGTCTGTTAGAACTTTCAGTGACAAGTGAATCTTATTTTTTGAGGACACCCTAGCTGAACAAACTATTCTAGGATTTTATGAAAAATAATCACCTCCCTGAAGAGGTAAGGTCGAATTTTTATCATTTCCTTATTAAAGTGAGATTTTAATTAGAGGTAGATTTAAGAAAACAACTTTTCACCTTTTAGAGAAACATTTGAATTTTAGTCATCTTCAACCATATTGATTATCTATGATTTCTTATGATTTAGAAAATTACAAATTACCTAGGTTCTTATGTTAATTAAGTGGAATGAATCTCTTTCAATGTTCAGCTCTATTAGCCAACCTTTTTCATGTTCAGAAGTTGACTCAAATAACAGCAGTTATTTCATCCACATTATACCAAAAAATCTGAAAGTGTAATCTTGAAGTCCGAATATGTTTTTAGTTTTATCCAATTGATATTCTGTTAAATATCTCTGCTATTGCGAAAAACTCACCAGCCCTGCAAGTTTGGGTCACATCCTGCAATTTTTACAGATCTGGATGTCATTGATACGCTGTAGACTGCTGAAACCATGAAAATTGTATGGCCTACTCAATTTTCAAGATTATTGACGACTTTCAGATTTGTCAGTCATCAGTTTTTACAAAGCGATCTGAATTATTTTGGTACAAATTTGATGAGGGAGGAATAAGACCGTTGACTACTGAAAGATTCGAATCCAGTTTCAGCAAAAATTACAGTGTGTGACCCATGCTTAACAGTTACACTCACTCAATATTAAACAGGTTTTTCTCTCAGAAATTTTCTGAATTTGCCCTAAGCACACAAAAGGTAAAATCCTGTCAGCTCTGAAAAAGTGTACTTAATGCAACTGTAAAACATTTTAGAAACCAAATTGGAAAATTTACCACAGAATTAAAACGAAGTTTTTTTTTCCAAGTAACAAGATGCTCGATTAAATGAAAATAGGTGCCAACTTTTCTCAAAACTGAAACCTCAAATTTTTGTGCCTTGATTTTTCTCGAGTCCAGAGGAGTTCAAATGAATATTTATTTTGTGGTCGGAAATTTTAAATTGATCCACACCGCATTACAGAATCATTTAAATTGATGTTAATGCAGTCTCATCCAATTCAATTGTTTTGTCTCTTTAGAAAATGAGGTAAAGAAGGATGATAGGTGAGATATTAACTTCTTTGAATTTGGAATTAATTGTGAACTTTTCAATATTTATTGTAATTGAAAAGAGATTAATCTGCTAAAGTTTTGTAATTACTTAAGTTCTTTTTTCTCAAAGGATTATTTTTAAGTCATTCTTGTCTTACCAAATTTTTAATACTTTTGGGTGAAATCAATGCAGAATTTCCTTTTTCCTTCCATTTTAAAATTCGACCAAACCGTAGAATTATTACATCACCAAGTTGCAACAATAATGTTACCAATTTTTTAGAAAAATTTTGTCAAAAAAAAAAAATTATGATACAATTACTTTTACACATGGTGATCAGCACTAAAAGTGTTCGGTGCAAGGAGGGCACTTCTCGGTTGCCAAGTCTCAGAATCTCTGTCAATAATTTTTATCCTAGCAAGGAATCTAATGGTGAATCACCAAGAATTTTATCCATAGAACATTGTAGAATTTCAAAGAATGTGTTTTAAAAGCTTGAGTGCGCTTTCCTTAGTATGAATGAAATATTAACAGAGATTTCTAAACACTGCAACCAACAAGTGCCCTTTTCACACACAAAGCCTCAATTTGATGTATTAAATACTTTAAAAGGAACTGCGTACATTGTGACCTGAGCCCTACCATGCATGCATTAATTAATTTATTTATTTATTTAAAAAACAATACAAAATAAATAATTGAACTAACAAGACCCGCAGTGAGCAATTTATGACTCTCCTCTAAGGTCTAGCCAATAGTGATAGAATGGTAGAGCCTGCGCCGCCAGATACACTTAATCCTTAAGAGAAAACTGTTTGCAAGAGGGGAATATACACCATACCAAGGTTGTCAAGTTTAAAATAATTTTTTAGTTCTATAATAGAAGTGACCTTTCTTAGTCCGCTCAACTACTGTATTAACATGATCTCTCCAAGAAAGGGAAGAATCTAGTAGAATGCCCAGATATTTAACCTCCAATGAAAGTTTTATTTTGGGGCGGGAACATACATTTGCCTTACAACTTTGCATATGCAGTTTTATCTCCACTCATGTATTTTTGTGGATCTGAGGGCTCTTTTCAGAATGGATATAGTACCCGTTCATTTAATACGTCCAATTCAGATCAGAAATTATTTTTTCATATGAGCACCACCATTGAATTTATTGGAATGAACTTGCAGTTACGGACGTACCTATATTTTTACTCATATACTAGTTTTCATAGAATTTTCTGTTAATTTTTATAGCAAACAATTTTTGAGAAACCTGTGAGTTCTATGTTTTGCTTCTTTGTGATTCATCAAGTTAATGTATACCTCTGTTTTGATAATTAGTTAAATAAATTCATTTTCTTGGGTAAAAATTGTTTTTGTTTTTTCTTATCTAAATACTCAGGTTCATGTAAAAACCAGTTTGCTTTTTCTTTCCTTCCCTCCATTTGATTAAGTGCATAAGTAATGTGAAAACACACTCCGTGCAACTTGTAGCTCACTCGTTTAACCCGACTTACAGCTTGTCCCATCCGCTCATATTCTTGAGAAGTCATCACAATAGCACCTTTCAGTACATATAATCTTGCAAAACTGAAACAGAGGCCAACTACTCATTGTAAAAACTGTGTTCATTTTCCAAAACCCAAGAGGAGTGGGACAGGAAGAAACTATTTTCTCTCTTTTTAAGCACATTGAAGGGTGAAAATCTGTAAGCTTTAATTGATGGCGGAAACATCATCAAATTGTCCCACTCAAGTGAAAAGGACAGTTTTTCTTTAGTCGGAGACGTCCTTCCTTTTATAGTGAATTAATGATACCGAATTAAATTTTTTCTAAAATTCTCACAGTATTAATATAGATTTCAAGCATATACAGTCTATTAAAACACTGTATAGAAAAATTGAGTGCTTTTGTGGCATAAAGTTAACAGAATGCTTTTTACTTACTTAGCAAGCATTAATAGTTTCCTTATCTTCTGTAATATTAAATGCAAGTGGTATCTTAAATCAACCCAAAAGGCTCATCAATTGTTATCCCTCAAACGTTTAAAAAGTACTAGTGTCAACAAGGGTTGAATCGACAGAAAAAGTTGACAAGGAATCGAAACTTAACAGGTTGATGCTCGATCAAAAAAAGAGCGTCATTTTGAATTCAGGCATCACTCCCGCCAAAAATTTTAGTTTCAATCTAGGGTGATAGAGCGCGTTGACTTTCACTTCCTGAAGAAACCATTGACGTATAATACAATCTAGACCGCGCATTGGGCCCGACTTTGGGCGGGGAAGGTAAGACAGCTAGGGGGGTAAAGACGCGCCTTCAGCTTAGTTGATACCGCCGGATATACGAGCTAAGTGTACCCGTATCAGGCAACGGCACTGGCAAGACTGGCATTTCCACGAATTCCACCATTGTCTCGCCGGTACACTTGCTGTGTGTTGCTGGGTTGCCTATCGTCTCGCTTGAATTTCGTAATGCGCGGTCTAGATTGTATTATACGTCAATGGAAGAAACGAAGAAGAAGAAGTAGCCAAAACAACCGACCGACCGACCGACAACTTGAGAAGTGAAGTGAAACTGATTAGAATCGGGCTATTTTCTAAGGCTGTTTTTACTAATTAATAATATTGTGTTGTGAAGTTTCAAAGTTTCTTTCTTTTTTTAATAACCTATGGCTCGCTTTTTCGTATCTATGATGTAACTTTGTCGGCGTCTTGCCCTCTAGCTCCTCCTCAAACATGGTAGGTTCCAGAATCAATGTACATTGCTACAACGATCTACTTTTAAATTCTACTGGACTTATTATCAATGATGATCATCCTTTCCCACATCTCTCCACCCTTAACTCCCTTCTCAAAACCTCATTCCCATCTCATTCTTGTGCGAGGAAGCTCCGAGAATTGTGAAAGTTTCAACCTAACCTCCAAAACCACCCTACGAGGCACTAATAACCAGTATCCTTTGCCTCTGGCTGAAAATCTATCGCAAGAGTTGTTTCCAACTGCCAGTCACTCTTCTCTAAGAATTATCGTTCCTCAGTTCGTGTGACGGTTTTCTTATCTGAGCGAAAGCAGAAGGTCCACTCACTTTATGTCTAGAGGCGTTGCTACTCAAAGTAGATCAGGGTTGCTCAGTTTTTATCGGTGCAAATGGTGAACGCCTCTGAATAGTCAGACGTTACTGCGTTTGGCAGCTTTTTTTTCAGAGAGGGTGGAAGTCAGGACATTGGAAGGGTATCTTACAGATGTGTTGAGCTCATATTTTCTAAGCGTCTGATGCCTACAGCACCCAAGTACCAATTTTCTAGACTACTTGTTGTGGAGATTAGTCCAGGAATTGAATCTCCTCCTATCACTGAGGAGGGATATAGAAATTCGTAGTCTTTGGATAACTATGTAGAATGTTCAAATCAACCAGAGGCTACCTACATGAAAGCGAAGTTTAAACAGTAATATTTTCCTAATTTTGTAGAAGTCTGTATGAATGGGTCATACCATGTTGATACTTATCATGCACCCCTAGTCGGTAAGGTGTCAATCCTTTACTAATATTTTCTCTTTTTTTTCAGGGAGCCAATGTTTCTCAGTTAGAAAGAGATATTGGTGCCGAGCAGTTTCCTCCCAACGAGCACTACTTTGGACTAATAAATGTAAGTTTCTTTACCTCAGTTTTTTCAGAATTGCAGCTCTTTCAAGTGGAAAGTGAGGCAAGTCAAAAACAATCACAAGAAAATGAAAGAGTTTCATCCTGGGCTCTTCTAGATATCGGTTAAATTATTATGCAATGTATCTTGTTGATACTGTTCCCGCAAGCCAAGCTTGCACAAAAATTATAGAAAGTTTTTGGTATGATTTTTTTTATTTTGAAGGGGGGGGGGGAGGATGGACGTCCGACATAGAAATGGTAAAATGAGCATTGAATACACCCTTCTTTAAAAGGTAAGTCTACCATTTCAAAAAATACTCCTCGCAACGTTCAACCAAAAAGAAAAAAAAAAAAAAAAAAGTTGTCTCTTTTTGTGAAAGCATTTTTTGGGCTCGCACTGAATTGAGATTAGCAAGGAACTTATTGACCCCTGAAATGTATGTCATTCAATGAGTTATAAAGATTAAAAACACTTTGAGTCGTAGGCCAAATTAGTAGCGATATCCACCATGAACACATGCCTAAAACATAGTTTGCAACATGAGACAATTTTGAACGTATAAACTGTAAAATGGAACTTGGGTACTTAGAAAAAAAATATTGCATCTACTTGGGTGATTTATTCCCTTATTCTCTTGGGCTATTTGGGCAGAAGGTAGAGTTGAAAAATGTGTCCGTACCTCTTTCTTTAAGTTTGGAGTGGACAATTAGCACATGCAAGTTCACAAATAAATTTATTTTCCTGCCTTCTCATGCCTTTTTACTTACACAAAGAACCTTTCATTAATGTGACATTATTGTTTCCAGTATGGCAACACCTGCTATAGCAACTCAGTACTTCAAGCATTGTACTTCTGCAAGCCGTTTCGCGAGAAAGTCCTCGAGTACAAATCAAAAAACAAGCGAACCAAAGAAACTTTATTATCTTGTTTGGCTGATTTGTTCCACAGTATTGCGACCCAGAAGAAGAAAGTTGGAACGATAGCACCAAAAAAATTCATCGCTCGGCTGAGGAAAGAAAAAGGTATGTTCAATGTCCATAGTTGTTTACTCCTAGTTCACATCGCTCTGATTTTCAAATTTAACATGAACCAAGAATATAGGTGTTAACTTATTCCTCCTTCCTCTGAGTGGATGGAGTTTGACTAGATACAGGGTTGCTGTCAGGGAGCACCGGGAAATGCCAGGGACTCTTAAAAAGTTAGGGAAAATTACAAAAGTGTTAGGGAATACTTGTTTAGTCACCTTTATTTGCTCTCTAGAATGGGTTTGATTTTTCAAACAACAAATGCATGAAAATTATTTAAAATGATGTCTTTTTAACTGTCAGGCATATTTTTAAATGTCAGAGAATTTTTCTGGAATGTGTCAGGAAGAAGTCTTAGAAACACCTTGTCTAAATTATTTGGCAATCCTACCCATAAGTTTGTTGCAGAAAAAACTAGTGGCTCTATAGTGTTCCCCGCAAAATTTCAATCAGAAAGTGTTCCTGGCACATGTAAGAGGTGTCCACTAATTATATGTATATACCAGATTAATTTTTCATTTGGCATGATCAAACAATGAACAGTGTGTTCATTATGACAAAAAATTGTTACAGCCAAATTACAGTATTAACACAATAATTTGGTCTTCTTTCTAATTTCAGAGGAGTTTGACAATTATCTACAACAAGATGCCCATGAGTTTCTCAACTTTCTCATCAACCATATTAATGAAGTCATTCTATGTGAGTATTTTCCCTTTTTTGCATCTTTCATACAAGTATTTATCTACTTGCATTCATAGAGTTGATTCTTTTCTCAAAGTATGGTCAGTCAGTTTATTTTCTGTTCATTATGAGGAATTTTCTCAAATTATGAAGGATTTGCTTGAGAATAAGCCTCTCACACACTCTGATTTAATTGAGCTCTTTGTTTATCACTATGTGAAATAAATATTTGACTATTTTCCAAAATTCTTTAGAATTGAATACTCCTCACTCTTGCTGGAGGTTACTGGTTATCCCATGATTTCCCCATTGGGATTAAAATCTATGGGGAAAGAGAAGAAAAATCTCGAACTTGCATGAAATTGAACTATTTGTTCGAATATCTGAAGTAATGTGGTTTTCAGATGATCAAGAAATGTGAGCATTTGACCCATCAAGCCAGGATTTCCTACAAATGCTTATCGGTGCGGGTTGGTAGCGCCCAACGCCAATCGTCATAAGAGCCCGTGTTAAAAGTCACTTGCGTCAGGCGATGTAGATGCCTGATGCCAGTAACTTTTAAAACCGGCTCTTATGACAATTGGCGTTGGGCACTACGGACCCGTGCCGACAAGCATTAAGAGGAAATCCCGGCTTTATTTAAATATTTTATTTATTTACATTAGTATATATAAATAATGCCACATGGTTTGGCTTTCAATACTTGTCAAAAGAAAAGAAACCCTTAAATTTACACATTAACATACATTACAACATACGTTACCTAGCATGCTTAAGTGTACTTGTGGTGGAGAAACCAGTTCTGAGAGATGTGCAAGTCTATTGTAGTATTCGTGATTTGGTTTAAGTTTCTTGCTCTTGCTGTTTTTTGGACTTGAGTCTTGTCATAATGTAAGTATATAAATTGATAAATATCTGCCATACATCTCGATTTGACGATACTGCTTTTACATGGTCTGCCTGCTTGAAAAAAGAAGAAATGATCGTATGCACATAAGAACAGTCAAAGAGTCTAGAGTTTTCAAGTGTCTGGAAAACAAGGAAAGTCAGAGACTCCATGACAAAAACGTGAGAATTTTGCGACCAGTGTTCAGCAGCAACCAGTGTAATTAAAATGAAAAATATGCAAGTGAAAATTTTTTCAATGGTCCAAAAAAGTTGGGGAATTCGAAACTTTTGGAGTCAGGAAAAGCTAAGGATCAGGAAAATGAAAAAATTATGGAAACCCTGAGATAGATAATGTGGGGTAATTTTTGTTATTCCTCTGCACGGAGAATATCATGCTTCACTTTTATGTGAACTGCTTAATTTTTTACTCGGAAGCTACGAAGAACTCTGGAGTAAATTTCATTGAATTTTTATCACCGAGAGCCGTTCATCCTTTACTCTGTTGCTTTGTGCTTTTTTTCGTATTTCAAGAAAGCATTTTGCATCACTCAGCTCATCATCTGTTTCCATTGTATGTTTAAAAATTGAATTGCAATCAATGTTGATGATCTCTCTGTTTTTTCTCAGCGGAACGGCCTCAAAATAATTCCAAATCAAAAATGAACGACTCATCAAGTTCGCAACAAGAACCAACGTGGGTCCACGAAATATTCCAAGGTGTCCTTACCAGTGAGACAAAGTGTCTGAATTGTGAAACCGTAAGTTGACTCTTTAATTTTCACTCAAAGGACTAAGTGCAAAACAGGCCGTTTGGGGCTCAGGCGGATACCTTTGAGACTTATCCTATTCATTCACCAAACAATGCCCCATCTTTTCCCAAAGTTTCAAGCCCCCCAAAAATTTTGGGAAGATGCGGCAGGGCACAGTGGGACGAAATGGGTAAAACCTGGGACATGAGGTGTTCTCTTGTTTTGCATAATGATGTGTTGGAATGTGTTCCTAAGGATCCATATTATATGAATTCAGTGTTGGTCTAATGATTTTGTCCAACGATTTTTCCCCCTGGACTCCTGTAGTTGGCATTTTCTGTAATGGCCGATTTTGCTCTGTTTTCTAAGGTCAGTTTCCATACTTGCCCCTTCAAGTGGAAATAATTGACACGAATATGAATGCTCTGACCTTATTTTAGAGTGTATGAAGAACGTATTTCATTATTAAAAAGTTGAATTTACTAAATTATATACGTTGTAAAATGTCTGATCAAAGATGATCCTTCCGTAAATAAGAAAATAAAAGTTTGAATAGACTTTTAAAAATGTCCCTGTCTAATCATGCATAAGGCAAGCTCCAGTGATCCCTCAGGATGAGGAATTCGTCTTTTTTGCAAAAATTTTGGTGATTTTTAACTTTGACCCCCCGCTGCGTCTTCCCAAAATTTTTGGGGGGCTTGAAACTTTGGGAAAAGATTGGGTATTGTTTGGTGAATGAATAGTGTAAGTCTCAAAGGTATCCGCCTCGAGCCCCAAATAGCCCGTTCTGCACGTAGTCCTTGTAACAATATACTTTTTTTAAGCTGTATCTTCTCATTCAAGAGAGGATCTGTGAGAGTCAGACCAGCAATCACTGGAGAAATGTGTGAAGCATGGTTACTATTGGGGAAAAAATCACAAATTCCTCCAATTTCAGTCATGAAAACAAAAATATGTACAAGACAACAATGCAGCAGTGCATCTAAAATTCCACATCAGGCTCAGAGATAATACAAAAGTGATGACAAGGCAGCCACCTTTAGATGCGATCCCGATGTAAAAACTTACTTTGTCCTATCAGCCGACAAGAATTGAGTTATAACAAGTTGAAGACTTAGTGCATGCCTTGCATGATCTAACTTTGCTATGACCCTAATTAGAGACCTGCGGTTACCTACTGTAAGTAAATGCAGATTAGATTAGACTAGATGTTTGGAAAAATGATTTGTTCTTTTAACTTGAATTTTTTTTCTAATTTCAGAAAAGCAGCAAGGATGAAGATTTCTTTGATCTTCAAGTAGATATAGATCAGAATACCAGTATAACTCATTGTCTAAAGTGTTTCAGCAACACAGAAACACTATGTAGTGATAACAAATTTAAGTGTGATAATTGTTGCAGCTACCAAGAAGCGCAGGTAAGAGAGTTTTCTTCTGTTTTTTCTTCCTATTTTTTTAACTCATACTGTGTTATCTCAAAATTAGTTGGAACTAAAAAAAAGTCACTGTTGACTATTTAAAAGTTTGCATAGGAAACAAGTCACATCAGATGGGACCTTAATTCTCTCACAAGATGTTAACAAGTATGTACTCCTAATACAGTTTAAATTGAAGTCAGATGATATAAATCATTTTTTCAGTATTATTGCCATTTAACCTATGTTAATTGTAAACGTGACATCTTGTTTAGATTTTTATTTTCAAACTTCTTCTTATGTGGTTCTTTTTTTGTGAAATTTCAAAGAGAAAACATACCGTACAGTGGTTTAATTGATACCTTGTCCTTAGGCCCATTTCGGATTTCATTTACGTCCATCTCGCTTCTTGTGGGTGTTCTTTTTCGCCCCTGTATTTCAAGCCATTTTGTGTCCCCTCTCTTCTGTAAGACCCCCATGGCACGAATATTGGTTAAATCGATTATATTAAGAACTATAGTGCCTTCAATGCCTGAGAGAGGCTGTAGCTTTAATTTTTTCTTCAGTAAACCCCATTTTTTTTTCAAAATTTTTGAGTTTAGAAGTGTTCTGAATTTCCAGTTGTGTTTTTCTTTTTTATTTTCAGAAACGAATGAGGGTTAAAAAACAGCCTATGATCCTAGCGCTGCATCTAAAACGATTCAAGTATATGGAGCAATATAATAGACATATCAAAGTTTCACACAGAGTCGTCTTTCCTCTAGAGCTTCGGCTTTTCAACTGTGTAAGTTATTGTTCTCTAATAGATTTTTGATAATTTCTCCAACCATCTATTTTTTTCTCCTCTCTTTTTTCTTTGGCCTTTATATTGAATATAGTCGAACCCAAACTCTTACAAGTATAAAATAAGCTTGACATTCCTAGGCAAAGATTATGCAATGAAATTGTATTCCATAAGTAGCCTCAATTCTGGTTTTGCTACCATTAACGATAAATGAGATACAAACAAAGCGTCAGCAAGAAATCCTGTGTCATGAGTTTTGCTTTGTAAGAGAAGAGAGCCTCAAAAAGGCCAAGATTTTTTTCCCTCCCACAGATATCTACATATTGATGGCCTAAGTGCAAAACCGCGTATTTTCATTGCGGTGTTTCAAAATTTCTGCTCTTATTTTTTTTTTTCGAAGGAAAAGAAGACATTTTTATAGCTTAAAATTTATACAGAATATTCTATCTATAGAGAAGAAAAATCAAGGAAGTTTTCAATTAATTACGTTGTCCAGTTTTCGAAAGAAAAAAATAAAATATGACAAGAAGACTGCAATGTCGCAAATGGAGATGCGTGGTTTCACACCTTGCCCACCAATATGTCCTAAGTTCACTTTTTCATTTTTGATAACTTTCTTAAATTTTCAAATTATTTTTTCAAAGTTAAGTTATTAGTATAAAGTATTAAGTAGCATTAGTAAGTACAGTGAAACCTCAATAACTTGGTTCCCGGATAAGCCGGTAACCCGCTTTAGTCGGTAGAATCGCCCGGTCCCGTTTATCACCCATATAACACAATGCTAAATAAGTCTGGATAGCTTGGTTTGGTCAGATTCTGAAACCGCTTAACTCGGTGAAATTTTTCCATCTCGACCTGTTTTTCTTCGATCGTCACCCGTGATCAAGCGTAGGTAGTGTTTACGCGCAGGTCGGGTCAAGTTACGCCTTGAGGGGTGAGCGAATCTCCAAGAGAGCGCAGCGCAGTGCGAGAGACGACATCGGAAATAGAGAGATAAGGAATCAAAAACACTCGATAACAACACGAAAGATGATAACAGTAGAGACTAGGATATCTGATACCGCGTGTTTATCTTATCGCGCGTGTGAAAACACGCATGCATAATTAAGCAATTTCACATATCGATGAGTTGACAGGTCCAGTCGGCACCAGCCCTTCTCCCCCTACCATCTTGCATTGCCCTTCCCCGCTCCCCCCAGGAATCTTCCGCAGAGTTTTTCGAGGATTTTAGCGAGTATTGATATGTTGCATTTTCAGTGCAACGACCCGCCATAGCGGGCGGCCGCGGCGCATCACCGCGCGGCACCCCAACAAACGATTGACCCGATGACTTCATGATGCCCTGACACTTTCAACACGCAATTTCAAGTGCATTTGATGAAATTTTACCATTTTCTTCGATCAAATGGCTCTCCAAAACACTCCTATAAGTCACTTTACACGCACGTTTACGTTTGTCCAATTTAGGGCGCGAAATTTGAAAAAGCGCGGCGGAAAAGTGGCAGTTCGCGTAAGTCGGTAACCCGCTTAACTCGGTAAATTTCCTCGGTCCCGATGGAAACCGAGATATTGAGGTTTCACTGTAGTAGTAGTATTATCATCATAGCGTAAATTATACCCAGACTACCAAAGACTTCAAGCTTTCCAGCTTCACCACTAATTGAATGAGACACAATGCCAAAGCCTGGCAAAATATGAACATAAACTCTTCTTATGACCCTGAGGAATTTAATGCAAAAAAAAGCTTTTCACAAAAGCCTCTAAACTTTTCTAATTTCAACATTGCGGGATTTTGTTGTTTCAGTCGGATGATGCTGTTAATCCGGATAGAATGTACAATTTAGTAGCAGTTGTAATCCACTGTGGAAGTGGGCCAAACAGAGGTCACTATATTAGCATAGTTAAAAGTCACGATTTTTGGCTTTTATTTGATGATGAAGTTGTAGATGTAAGTATTCATTTTGTTTTGAAGATGATTCAAAATTTCCTTTCAAATTCTGTGTTAGCTTGGTTATAAAAAATCCCTGACCAAATGACCATAATGGTTTGAAAACATTTGATAGCCGCAAAAAGGGGCCTTATAATTAAGAAGCCCAATTTGTGTCAGCAGAAAAATCGCAATGTTTATCAAAATATTATCAACTTGTGAGCAAAAAACAAAACAAAATAGAGTTCATCATCCCAAAATTTTTGGGAAAAAAGGGTATTTCAACCGCTGGGGTAGGAGAGCCAACAATTTTCTGCATCCATGGAAATCAGTTTATACGAAGTAATAAAAGTATACGTCGTTTAAGCAGATTTTTTTTTTGCCTAATTTTCCCTCAAGTTTCATTTTTTTAAACAGAGAATTAAACAACTTAAAGCCTTTAAACACTCTGTAAAATTACCCTAGATTGTGAAGAATATTCTCTCCAAGTTTCAAGCCTCAGAGTTGTTTAATTTAAGCTAAATTTCTCCATTATAGCCCTTCCTCTAAGCTCTTGATTTTAACTAACTTTTCCTTATTTTTTCCGCAGAAAATTGACCAGTCAGCAATCGAAGATTTCTATGGTCTAACGTCAGACATCCAAAAATCATCAGAAACTGGTTATATTTTATTTTATCAATGCCGAGATGTAGCTGATAGTAAACTTTCCAATTCCGAACCCAAAGTAAACGGTAAATAACACCGAATTTCAGCTTTTTGTTTTTAATGAATTTTCATTGTAATTTTATGTATATTTGCCACGTACTACAAAAATCTCTACTGTAAAAATGCCTTGGCTGATCAGATGTGAGTGCATGATGCATTGCAATTGGTTGCAGTCGGTGCAATGAGTCAGTAAAGTCATGTGTTTTACTGCATCATTTGAAAGTATTAAGTGACCTGAGAGCACAGGTATTTTCTCATGACTTTTTTATGACAGTGAGTGAAAAGTGTTAGAAAATTGTAAGAAACAACTTTTTGCTAACCGAATCTTCCTCAGCCTAACTGACTCATTGATCCATGCACCCTAAAATTTGTTGAGAATAAATTATTAAGATCTCTCTTTACTTCTCTTTCTATCAAATTTCATTAGATTTATAAAATCTTTAAAACAAAATTACTCATTAGTGAATTTATATGTATATTAAATGTTTGCCCAATCTGGATTTGGACTGAACAATCAGAAAAAGAACCAACACGTCTAGCTTATTTATGAAAACACTTAACAACTCAGAGAAATCAACCATTGACATGTTGTTTCTCAAAAATAAGCCTAAAAATTTGGTTCCGTTTGGTGCAGAATGCCATCCATTCAACTGATGTTGATTAGGGACACAGAATTTTTCAAAATTCTCTTTTATCCTGCAAAGCAACAAATTGCTGACCTGGAGGAGTGAACGTTTGATTGCTGTGAAACTGAGTAATCCAGCATTAAATTTTCTTTGAAGTTAGTATATGACCTTGTCAGCCAACACAGCCGATTTTTTTTTATGATGTGTGAAAACAATCATTCGATGGTTAACGAGGCCCACCAAATTTTTTAGCAGCTGAATAAAATCAAGAAATTTCAGTTTTGTAAAATTTTGAGAAGAGGCATGTCATTTATATCAATTGCGTCTAGATTTAGATCAATAAATATTTTTGGAACGGAAGGCTTTATTGCTCCATTGGCTCCTGCCACGGAAGGCTCCATTGGCTCCTGCCACGGAAGGCTTTATTGCTGCAGTCATTCTGAAAGTAAGCTATGATGTTATGATGTTTGGCTTGCAGGTCCAAGTTTGTCAGCAAACCCTGATGAACCACAAGAGAGGGTACAAAATTAAGCACCAAAATTAAAGTCAACGATTGAAAAATTTCGATTTAAGAAAGAATTAAATTTTCCAAATTCAATTCTTAAATGAGGAAATAATGGTTCTTGTCTACGTTAACACACACTTCCCACTTACAAAAGAATCAAAGTCCTCTTGAGTCGAATTGAGCACCAAATTAATTTCAGTATGTTTTATGATAGAAAAATTTTCCTGTGCAGTCACTTTTTTTTTGACAAGGTAAAAGGTTCCTTGTATCAGAAGAGGAAAAAAATATGTGTGAAATGAAGCTTTAGCTATTTGGTTAACGTTTCAGTTGATCTCAATGCCTGAATGCGCCCTGCTTTGGCCTACGTCAAGTAAGATTTTTTCGAAAGGAAGAAATTAGAATTTACTATTTTTCACGTGATTTGGAATCGTTCATTACTCACTCTTGAATTGATTTTGGAAGTTTTGGATACTTTTAACTTATTCTGCATGAAATTTTGCTGAGGAAACATTTACGGTAGTGCTTAACGTCCAACCCTGACCTGTGGTCTGTTAAATTGGGTCATTTACTGTGCACCTCCCAGCAAAAAATGTATGTTTAAATGTAATTTGTATGTATGCAGCACTAATACTGGATTTTAATTTATTAGTTTTATCTAAAAGAATTTCGAAACTTTTAAAGTCATGTAATTATTCAAGTGTATAAAGTCTCCCATAATCCAGTTCTAAGACTGTTAATTTATTTCTAATTTCATTGTTTTAAGTATTTTGTTTTTCTTTTTAATTATGATGTTTAATTATTTTTCCTAAAAGAAGTTAATTGTACTTGGATTCGAATGTTTTTATTGTTATGAATTTTCTTGTTGAAATTGTTTGATTTTAAAATCAACAAGCAGTTTTGATCTCCAATTAATGAAATCGGAATTTATTCACGCATGTATTACCATTTTAATAATGTTTTTAATATTTGCAAAAGCTCAGAATCTGCAGTATTTAAGACTGTCGTGCCAAGAGAAAACTCTGTATGAAGTTTCAGTTGTTGTCAAATTTTCTTAGATAAAGTATGAATTTTCAAGGAAATCTGTGAATATTTTCCAGAGAATTTTATCAGAGTTAAATTGTCTGAAAATCTTGGAAAATATCCGTAAATCTCCTCAAAAATAAACATTGTATCGGAGGAAATTTGGTAACTTGCAAATGTTCATACGGCGCTCCTTAGCTTGGCAGTACAGACCTTAAGATTAGCATGAACAAGAAATGTTTTTGTGAATGTTTTTGCTTCTTAGTGTGCAGTCGGGTCCAGCAAGATGAGTTCAGTGGAAGTTAAAAACTGCAGTCAAACAGATTAAGAATGATAAGAAAAATTTATGTTGAACTATATTTTAAATGAATCTATTGTTTTAATCTACACAATTTTTATGCCTAATCCATTTTTGCAAATGAACAACAAATATTGATGGTTTCAGTCGAAAAGTGGTAGTCTTCTTTGCAATGGTTAACAATCTCTGATATTGTTTTACTTTTTTTAAAAGAGAAGAACCAATTTGTTCTTTGAATTTTGTGTGTGTATCATTTTTGAATGAAGGAAGAGAAAGCGCAGAAAGTTCATCGATAGACTATTTATTTTTCTTTTTAAAAAAGGTGGAACTCTTTCAACGCCATATTTAGATATGTTAATTTTTTAGCTATCAATATGATGTTTTGTCTTGCATTAAACAGTGCAACTTTTTCACAAATCGTAATTTTATGTTGATACTTTTACAGTGCAGATTGGAGACTTCATTTCAAAACTTTTGGCACTTTAAATCTAATTTTTAGTACCAATTTCCTAAAGCCCTTTTTTCTCTCATTGCCTTGCACTGCTTTAAGATTATGCAAAAACCTTTTAAATCTTGTATCTGTAGTAAATGATGTTATTTTGGATGACTACTTTACTTTGCGTACACTACCTCATAAAGTGAAAGAAGGAAAATTTGTATTTTAAAATGTACTGTAGACGGACATATGATACTTGAACGGTTCAAGAAAAACCTTTATCAGCAACTGAATAAAATTTAGGCCAAAAGTTCGTTTTTAGTATTTTTCGGTATATATTACCTTAGCGATTACACAGTTTTTCATTGTTTGAACGCCTAGTTCAAATGGGAGTTTACTACTGAGTGAAAATTTTTTCCAGTCAAGATTTGTATCTTGATTGAAGTTGCACTTTTTAAAATTGATTCCATTATTTTTCCTCATGGAAGTGAGTTATTGTAAAGTTTTGCTTAAAATTTTGGAAGAAGCAATAAAATTTTCTTCGGCATTTACTACCGTTGAAATTTCTTAAGTAGCCGTTGTTCACAGACTGTTGAAGAACTGTTCTTCGGATCAAAAAGCCTTCAAGGTATGTTATTAATCAGCAAATACTATTAAACATTGTAGAATTTTAAAACTCTAGATTAATATCTCTCCTTCATTGTCCAATGTTTAAATTTGATCTTCATTTTGTGACAGTTGGAAAATGATTTGACAGTGTCACATGCAGAAAATAACTCCAATGTGTGAACGCAAGTGTGCTCAAGAGCAGGTCAAGATATTCCTCTTTTTTACTTGCTGGAACGCATATCGATAGCCAAAGTGCATAACCATGTATCTCTATTGCGTTGTTTCAAAATTTCCACTCCTATTTTATTTTTAAATAAAAATCAGCCAATTTTAGAGTTTGAAATTTGCACAGAACGAGAAGAAAAATTAAGGAAGATTTCAAGAAATTTCAAGAAAAACCGAAGATATGTGGTTTTGCACTTTAGCCATTCATAATTCAATTTTTTGTGAAGAAAGGACCCTAAAATCATGTTCTACGAGACTTCGTTCAGCATACATACATAATATGTATTTATTTTAAATATTATGTTCTGTTTCTCTCCCTATGTTATGCTTCAGTTTCCATCAATATATTTATGAATTGAACATACTGCATTCTTGCAGCCAGTTTATCTTGTGCGATTTTCCTCTCAGTCATTTAACTGTCATCAGACTGATAGGAAAAATATCCTAGCTGAATGCTTTATTGATGATGTATTATTTTTATCTTAATTATTTATTGCTGTAGAAAATTGTTGATTTTAAAATAAAATAAAATTTGTTACTGTACTTCTCCTTTTTTTATTTGTAATGAGAATGCATTCTCTGGCATTCCTCTTGGCCAAGATGTGTCTCAATGATGATTTTTTCCTGTAGTTCAAAGATGGTATAAATAAGAAAAATCCTCTAGTTTTAAATTAAAAAGACAAGTTAATGAAAATGTTTCATAAAACTTTTCATGATAGGAATTTTCAAGCATCTCTGTTTCAAAAACGTCTCTGTAGTGTGTAAATTTTGTATACACTTTCAAAAATAATGTCTTTCATTCAACTTTTTTTGTAGGTAATACTAAATTGCAAATATTCTTACACAGTAGGTACTTGAGTGGTCCTTTCAGCAATGACGGCTGAAAAGCACTGTTTAAAAACTCTTAAGAAAATTGTTAAAAATTATTTTGCAGGAAATCCTCTCGGTAATTTTTCTAAATATGTAAAATAATTTAGGTCTTGTTTTATGCATTAAGGATTAAAGATCTTCCGAAAAAAGTGACTAACATAAGTAGATCCTTCAAGAGTTTTTACTCAACAATTTTTTACTTAAATTTTACCTCTCGTAAATTTTAAAGCAATAAAATAACCCTAAAGAGGGTTTCCTGAAACCACCCTTAACAATAACTCTTGAGTTTTTACCCCTTTCTTTAATTTAACAGTTGTTGCCACCCCAGGGCACCCTAAGTGCACAATCTGAATTCTAAAATTCTGATCATTGCTTGATCACTTTTCACAGAGAGCATGCAGAGGATGTGGACAGGGTGGCAAAATTTCATGAAAAATAGAATCGTGAAATTTCACGTGAAATATTTCATGAAATTTCAGAAATTTATGAAAGATACTGACATATACCGGTTCCTTTTCATATTTCGCAAAATGTTAAAATTTTGACTTTCTTCTATTTTTGTGTGTTTGAGTTCGGGTTACATATTCTAGCCCCTGGAAAATATGAAATATTTCACAGCATCGTGAAATTTCATGAAATATTCCACTGAAATTTCCATGCTTTCATTCCTTTCTTACGTTTCATGCCACCCTGATGTGGCATAAAAATCTATGTAGTCCATTTTTTTGTGCAACATGACAACCCCGTGACATTCTTGAGGGAAAGCGGCAACGGGTGGGGAAAATTCAATTGGAAAATTGGGAAGTCATAAGTGGAATTTGTGGAAAGCAGGAAAAACTGTGCGAAGGGAGGGGTTGGAGGGGAACAGCTGAGCGAGTGATAAGTCAGGTGGTGGGAGAGCATGGGGTCATGGCATGGTGTTTGTGTATTATCACGGAATACGTGTTGCTGTTGTGTGTGTTATCCATATCCATGTTATGTTTTCCAACTGCAGTAGTGTTATCATTTCGAAGAATGTGCGCTGTTATTTGGTGTTCCCATCGATAATTTTCGGAGAGGAATTTTTCTATAGCATTTCGTCTAGCAGGAGATCGCAAAATGGCATCGATTATCAAAAATCAAATCCTGAAACATCTATCCAGGTGAGGCCAGGTCTAGGCTGGTGATAACCTCAAATAAGCCATTTGTTGATCACTACTTTTAAGGGTTTTTGGGGCACGAACTCCATGGAATCGTCAAATCTCCGATTGTTTCATTCCAGATTTCAAGTTTTTAAGCCCTCGTTACTCAGCAAAAAAACTTTCCATGTTTAATTTTGTCATTTTGAGAAACAGCTCCAGTCTAAAACTTTCACAGTCCTGGTCATGGAGCGACTGCCACAAAACAGAATCTGTCTACCGCCCAATTACTCTGATTTTATCCTAGAGAAGCTGCAGTTCGTATTTTCTCAGAAAAATCTCCAGTTCCTCATCTTTCTGTAGAGAGTAATTGTGCGAGAGATCCAGATAACTGATATGACCTGATAACAGCGGTGTCGACACAAACAGCCCACCTAACACCAAGCGAAAGTTATGTAACTTTTAGTCGAAAAAACTGAAATACTATGATACACATTGCTCAGCCCTTTTCTAAATAAATATATCTATGAATTTGTACTTAGTTTGGGGAGCATTCATCGCACCTATTCGTAGGTTCAGTGAACCTCAGCCAGTTTATTTTTTTCCATCCACGACCGAAAAGGGGTACTCAAAACTTGATGCACAGCCTAAACAGTGCTGTTTTGATACATGTTGTCAACTGATTTTGGCAGGGAAGTGGAAGTCTGTTTACCATTGCATCTTATTGTGTCATCGTTTAGATTTCTGTTGAAGCTATTGAAGCTGCAACAGGACAACGAATTCGATCACCACTTAAGGAATTAAAAGGATGTACATTAGCAAACCAGAAATAATAACTCGCGCTCCCGTTTTTCTTTCTCAGGTTCACCAAAAACTTGTCGGCCAACAATATTCACTTGGACACGTTTAAAGGCGAGGGTACGTTGAAATGTTTGGAGTTGGATGAGAATGTGTTGACAGAGCTTCTAGAATTACCAGTTTGGATGAAGCTAACCAATGCGTGGTGTAATTCAGTAGCTTTCTCGGTTCAATGGACGAAACTCAAGAGTGTTCCTATTCATTTGGTAAGTCTCCTTCTCAGTTTTTGCCAATGTCAGGTTTCATTACTTATTCTTAAAGTAAAAGTGAATTACTGATGAGAAACCTGCATCCTTTTCGCAGTACGTCATTCAAAGTTTCTACTGATGTTGATTTTCTCCTCTCAGAAAAATTAACGTTGGAGAAAACTCAGATTTTTCAGAGAAAACTCTTGATCGTAATGGGTAATAATAAGTCACTGTTCTAAGGTTCCCAGTAAGTAAACAGTTTGATTTTTTCTTCATGATGACTGCAAAATGTAACAGTAAATTTAAAATGTTGCAAATTGTAAAATCTACCTGTTTCTCTTTTCTAGTTTCACAATAAAAAAATTACGGTTCAATCATTCCTAATGCTAAGGAAGAATCGTCTCTTCTGGAAGTATACTTTTGAGAATAATTATCAACATGGTTCAGGCAGATACTTGAGTGTACTTGCATCATGCAGAATCTGACAAATCTTACTTCAATATGCTTGAAATTCCCTCTGAGATAAACAAAACCTTATTGGAAGATGTCATCAAAGCCTGTAAGCTGGTTGAATAATTGCATTCTAAATGCTGAATGTAGATGGCAAAAAGAAAATTTTAAATCCATAAAAAACCAACAGAAGTGCATAATCTGTGATTATACACACTGAATAGTTTACATTTATCAGTAGCACCAGCAAAATATTTGTTTTTGAGCCTGCATGAACCACCAGTTATCTTTTTTTGAAAGGAAGTCTATTAGGTACTTCTAAATTGAAGGCTGTAGTGATTATCTTTTCAACTGTTGGCTATCAGTTATTATTTTACTGAGCTCTCATTTTCCCTTATTTTTCAGACGCTCGATCAGGTTACAATAGAAATCGAAACCTGCGAAGAACTACGCTCAGCCTCTGTGCAAGGCCTCTCCAGTTACATGCAAGCCCCTGGCAAATATAGTTTCATTCACAAAGTCATTGATGGCATATCTATTGCTGTCAATACCACGGAAATTATTTTTCGTAGTCCCGCCTTTGTTGCTTCTGTCACTGTGAGTATATTTTACCAATTTCCATTGCTTTTGCTTTAGGTGGCCACAGTTTTTTAAAGACTTCTTTTTTTCTTTTCAAAATAACGAATGCAAGCAAATTTTTGACAGGGAATTCCTGACCTGGTGTCAGAAAATGGTTTCCATCTAATCGGAGATCTTTATAATGAGGTGCAATATTTTTTTAGATGCTGATTTTTGGAATGTGGGAAGAAGTTGTAGGCATGCAGGCTCAAAGTCATTGTATCTTTTTATTTTGTGTGTAGTTTTCAAGGTAACTTTGTAAAGTGACAAAGGCCAAAGTGTATTGACACTTATTCTGCCCTGCGGGCCGATTATTGAAACTGATCGACAAAGAAGACATAGAGCGACAGACGACAGAGCGAGAAGACTGTAGAGCGATCCTATTGGTTGATATGATTGGTTCTTATAGACTAAGGAAGAAAATGATGGACTAACTGTCAGGTTTCTCGTCGGTTGCCATTAGTTAGTCCATAACCTACCTCTATGTCCATTGCCACCACCCGCTTCCACCAATAGGATCCCTCCAAATCCCTTTTTTCGTCTTTGTCTACAGCTTTGTCTCTCAATTTCAATAAGCGGCCCTCTGGACCGATAACAGCTTGTCATCCCTAAATTCCAAAGGCAAGTAATGGCCTTTGAAGATTTGAAAAGGGGGAAAAAAAGTTTATAATTTTCGAAATCTGCAGCTGTTTTTCTGAAATTTGCCTCCCTCCAATTTGTGGAAAGAAAAAATATAAGGAGCAAGTCAAAATTTATTTTGGTTGGGATCTCCATGATCAAGTCTGACCAGCAGTTTGATTAGTTTCTGGATTAGTTCTGAACCCTTTGACTCTTGAGTTAGATTTTAAGCCCTTCTCCCCCCAACTTAGGTTAGAAATGGGAAACCATGCAAAAATAACTACTTTTAGTTTTTTTTTTACCTTTACTTTCTTTTTTCACAACTAATCAGCTTGAAGTTTTGTGTGCCTTAGCCTTTAGTATGTTGGAGTGAAGACCAGTCTCCAAAAGTTATTTACCAGCACTTTTTTTTTTTTTTGGTGAAATGAATAACATGAGAATAGAAGATTTTTGAAGTTTAAAGATGAGAATTCTTGTCCGCAGGGTCTCAGTGTGGTTACTCAGTCAAATCCCAACAAATACCCCTAAGAATATCTATAAAAATATTCATGAAAACTATGGTGTTTGTCATTTTTATTTTCAGATGTTGAAAATTTTAGTTGAATCGAAGACACCGGAATGGAAAAAAGATGACCTGCAAAAAACAAGACTGAAAGATGTGGATAGAGGGCAAATACTAATATTTAAAGAGCTTCAATGGCAAAATGTCCGAATTGAAGCAAAATCCATCACAGAAAAAGACCTCCCTCCACTAAGACTGATCACTGACAAAGCCTCCTGTAGAATAACAATCAAGAAAAGATTGGCCGGTAAGTCTTGATCTCCATACTTCTTTTTAACAGATATCGCAGTGCGTGCCGTAGTGTAAAGCCACTTAACCGTCGAATGTTGGAATGGAATAAATGTCAAGATTAAGATGTTAAGTTGGTAAAGAAGAAAGAATCAAACGTAATTTAAGAAAGCACCGTAGATCTTTTCAGAAAAGTGCGCTATTTTGAGGTAAAGTTAGGAAATTCATAGTTTATAAGATATACTGTTAAAAATTGACCCCAATTGGACAGCATTAAATAGGAAGGAACCAAGCCACATCAGCTATTGCAAAATTTAACTGGGCAATTTAATTTTTTACATGAAAATGGTTGTGCGGTTTTTTGTGCAAATTTCAGTGAATTTTCTGCATTGCACAAAGCAAATTCCTTAAAATTTTCAAAGGAATTCTCACAAATGTTCTCTCATAAAAAATTAAATTGTCCAGTTAAATCTGGCATTAGCAGATGCGGCTTGGGTCCTTTTTGTTAAACGCGGTCCAATTGTCATAAGGAAAAAAAAAGAGGAAGAAAAGAATCAGATTTGACTTTGACCTAACAAGTGAAACTGCACGTTCGTTTCATAGTCATTTTTCAGCTTGAATGGGAAGAATTATTTTTTAAATAATTTTATGTATAGTGCTTAAGATTAAACGGCGGGAAGGATGAAAAAAGGAAGTATCCGTGTTTCTTTTCTGCGCAAGCTTTTCTCTCCTGTTTTGAAGTTTTTTAAAAAACTTCTCTTACTTGCTAGATGAATTTTAGTGCGAGTTTTGGTTTGTAAAAATATCGAAGTAGATTGACCAAATTTTCTGTAATCATCATACAGATTGCCTTTAAGTACGTTTTTAATCTGTCACTTTCTTTTTCAGATTGTTTTGTAGTGGGCTCTAGGCTAGTTTTAAATTTAGACACTGCTCTCTGGGTATTGACAGACTCTCAACTGAAAGCTGCGCTCCACTTTTTAGATTCTCTGTCAGGATTAATACAGAAATCATCTGAAGTGACAAGGAAAAAAACAGCCGCTCGTAAACTTGAAGTAAGCTTGTCAATATACAATTTTATGTCTCCTTATGCCATTTTTATCTTAAAATTCTCATAAGCATTATTTTGATGGCATCATCTGATATTTTCAAGCCTGCTCTAATTTTCACCCAGTAACCTTGATGTGCTTTTGTGCATTGCAAGAAAGATATAAACTTCACCCCAGATTTAAAACCTTTTTTTTAGTTCAAAAATTACTTTCAAAGAAGGAAAGAACTTAAGAAAGTTACTTTTTCAGATATATTGTATGAAAAAAAAAAAGTTAGTACACGGAAAGTGTGACATAAAAAGGTACAGGTTCAATTTCTTGGTAAATTAAAACCGCAGCCAAGAAAAAGCGGGGAAGATCAAACGTTGTGTGGCTTCACAACTCTCTATCTTAGTAAGGTAGAAACAATATGGGAAGTTGTATTAAATTTAATTTTTTAGCTTATTTGAAAACCTACTTTACAATTTTTTTTTATAAAAATTTTATTTAAAAGTAATGTAACTACTACAAGAATATGTCTTGTGTCTACCTCCATGAATGAAATCAACTTAAATTAAAATAATTAAAATTAAAAATTAAATTTCAGATTATATCAGGGACTTGGAGGACAAGGCACTTAAGTGCAGTTTTTGAAAAAATTAAGATGTTGATGATATCAAGTGGAACTAGTCGTAATGCACATTCTGTGAAAAATTTGCTCCCAAATTCCAATTTTTAAGCATGAAAAAGTTAGTTTTTTCTCTCCGCCATAAGGTTTCATGTAATTTCGGAACTTCAAATGCGTATTTATTGAAGTAGCAAAAACTGCACTCATGCTCCTTGTCCTCCAAGCCCCTCACATGTAATATGTATTATCATCCAAAAAACAGTATTTACAAAATTCTCTCTTTTTTTCAAAAGAAAAATTCCAACCAACATTTCTTGACAATATTTTGTACAGTGTCAAGTAATAACATGCAATGAAACCTTTGATACTCGTATTCCTTAATCCTACCATTAATCTGTTTTTTACCACCTTTCAATCTAGGAGTTACCAGAATACCGGGCCCAACTTGCTCAACAGGCAAGAGTGGACACTACCTCTAATACCAAGTCGATGTATTTCGCCAGGCATGATGTGATCGAAACCTCCTACCATTTTCTGTCAAACAATATTGACTTCCATCTGAGTGACGATCCAGGTTTGTATTTATTTATTCTGTGCTCCAAATGTGCATTGCAAAGAACTTTGACATTTTCATCTCCAACAAGATTTTCATCTCCAACACTTTGGGAATTTCAATTTTTCAGGAATTGCGTTTCAGTCTCATCTCTATCTTTGCCTTCTCTTTTTAACAGAGCCAGAATTTCTGTTTTATAAAATTTTGCTTGGAATCTGGTACATTTGTGTGTTTCTTTTATCAAACATACTATGTTCATTCATTAGCAGGGTGTCTACAAGTCTGGAATTTCTGTAAAGTTCGGAAATAGCACTGACTTTTTAAGGACGGTCCGGAAGTACTGAAAAAGCGCGGAAATTCCGTTAGAGGGTCCGAAATGTTTCATTTTTGTTGAGAGAGAAATTCAAATTGTTGAAATTTTTCGAATTTCGTCAAATGGAGGTACTGAAAAAGTACTGAATTTTTCCGTTGAGGAGACTAAATTTCTCGGAAATGTACTGAAAAAGTACTGTAAAAGTACTAATTTTTAGGCCGCCTGTTTTAGTAGACACCCTGATTAGCTATGCATTAAGAAACTAAAAAAATGAGGGTTTGAATAGTAACATACCCCTCTTTAAACAAGTCAAAAGATTGCAACAGACAATCAGCTTTCTTCATTTCAGCACTGAAATAAAAGATTGAAGATAGCAGAGCTTCTGTCTTATCCTAAAAGTGTTTGAATTTATTTGGTGGACACTTATAGAGTAAAAACGGGTAATTTATTTGGTCGACACTCTAAGGAGTTAAAACGGGGAAAATCATTTTCTCACTGTCATTTTTAGCCCTAAATTCCAAAAGCAGTGCATAGTGTTAAAAAACAGAAATTTATTGTTCAAATTACTTGCATCATAACCGATATTGGCTGTTTTAATGGCAAAACTCTAAAAATATTTACGTAAGAAATCTCAATTTTTCAAAAAAATTTTAAAACATGATAATAGACCTCTACATATGGTATGAACTTGAACATTTTGATATCGTCACCTGCCGGCCAAAGTATCACAAGCGCCATTCGGTCTTTTCAAAATTTCCGCCGCCATTTTATTTTTTTACAGAGATTTTGTTGGTTGAATCTGTTTGAAAATTTCACTGAATTTTATCGGTAACATAAAGAAAATTCAGTGAAATTTTCCGACAGTGTCTATGAACAATGTCTCTGTATAAAAGCAAAATGGCGGTGGAAATTTTGAAACGTCGCATGGCGCTTGTGATACTTTGGCTGAAAGGTGACGATATGTGTTACCCCTTCAAAATGTCATCTAGAACACAATTTAGCGACGAAAATTGCTGAGATTGACTACTAACCAAGATATCAATGTCTCTAATAAAATGATGGTATCGCTTTTTTCAGATGGCCTTAGTCATCCAGATCTGAAAGGAGGAGGCTCGCTGCAAGTCAACCTCATTGGTTTCAAGGTGGATTTTTATCCGTACCATTTGGCTGTCGGTGACCGGAAACATTGGCCAAAATACAATGAAGGGGACTCGCCTCATACTCAGTGGCTCAACTCAGCTTTGACTGGTTTCAAATCCGCTTTGTTAGACATCATTGAATCGCCCAAAAATCATCATTCCCCGTTAGAGAGAACATCAAATAACATCCCGCCGGTTTGTAACTGTCTCTTTGCATGAACTTCGATCAAGCACTCCCTTTGCTGTTAAATAATTTTTTTTTTTTTTTTTTTTTTTTTTTTTTTTTTTTTTTTTTTTTT